CCTATGCATTAGCCGTTTTACTGAATACCTAGCAGACCGCCTATGCACTAGCCGCTTTAAACAGTTTTGCAGGTACGTTTTCACACCTACCACTGCCGGTCTTCGTTGGCCACAGCAGCAGTGGCAGGTCTGTGGCCCCCTGCCTCTTTTTTCCGCGCTGAGAAACAGCCCTTAGTAGCAAAACCAGGGGCCCTAGTAGCGTTCTTTGTGACTGAAAACCTTAGGCACAGGTGTGGACACACACACACAAGTTTTGCTCGGTTGGACTACAGTAGGTTCTAGTAGATACATTAACAGACAACTCAAACCAGTTCCTGGCATTTCTGCATCATACTTTCCTGACCACTTCGACTTCAAAGTCTTCAGTTCGTCCACCGATAATTCCACTCTTGATGCTCATGGTTGCAGGCTCGCAAAACAAATAAAATAAGAAGAAAAAGATGGACGACGGTGTCGTGCACGGGTTTTTTCTCTCTCTTGCCGTCTTTACACAGCCAATGCCATTAAAGCCACAAAGGAAAGTAAGTTCAGTGAGTACACAGAGCTGAGCCCAATGAAGCAAAAGTGCAAAGGTCGGGGTTTAGAAGGATGGGCTGCGTAGTATACGACTGTTGTTTTCAAGCCCGAACATTGGCAGTTAAAGTACAATCGGGACAACTAGGTTTTAGATGGTTTTAGAATGGCATTGAACTGAATTGGTAATGGGGTTGAACGTAGCACTTCGCTAGGCAATGATTTTGAAACTGGGACCAAGCCTTGCAAAGAATTGGTTGAGGAATGCCCACTTGGAGCGATTGTATATAATTCTCCATCAAGACTAGACATGAGTTTCAGCAGTGTTTTCACAATGCGTGTTTTATTCTTTGTTGCGTTGTAACTACTTGTTTTGTCCGAAATTATGTTTCTTTGTCTAGACCTAGCAGATACACATTTGACATATTTGCTTGTGTTTGAGGTGGAGAATGAAATGCTGAAGAAAGGACTCCAGAAAGCGCAACAGCAGGCGTGTGGAACACTGCCTCTGGCATTCAGAGCGGTTTGTTGTTTCTAACACGCAGGTGTAGTTTCATACAAAATGTTATCTTCAATGCAATTTTGCATCCTTGTTTGGGAGTGCAAAGCAATAGAGATGTCAAAACGATGTTGATATGAAAATTACCTCCAAGAAAAGCATGATTTGGTGCTGTTTGTTGCATGGCACCATATCTTTCTTAAAGCAAACACTCAACATATTGAATGCGTTTCTTGCATTTGCATTTTCTGGAGGACAATTGTAGCATCGAAACAATTTATTCTAGATTCTAGATGTGTTTGCTTCCCATCAATGTTTCAAGATGAGTTTCCTTTGTTACCTCTTGGAACCCGAAAGACAACGATGATGAGCATGGCATGGCCACGCGTAGATTCCATGCATGCAGAGCCGCCAGGTCGGTGCTGTCAATGTGACCCTGTACATCACCCTGAAAGACCAACCGGCCGAAATGGCTGACACAGCTCCGAAAAAATCATACCCTGGAGAGTTTCGAGAAAATGCAGCAAGATGTGTCATTTCGTTTCCTGGGAAATACCCTTCTGGATGGGATGCCCTTGTCAAGGGACATCATGACAGCAGCATTGGCTGTGTCTTTTTTACCACTCCTGGAGAACGCGGCTTCGGAGATTTGGTCGATCCTGGAGAAGGCGGCCTCGGAGATCATGTGCAAGACCCTGAGGCAGAAGAAGGCATTTGCTATTGCAAGGCCATCTATGGTGAGCGAAGTTGGGAGAAGTTTCACTACCTAAAGAAGGTGAAAAAGGAGAATTTGAAAGAAGAACTAGAGAAAGCAAAGGTAACGAAGATTCATGTCGTAGAAGAAGACCTGTACAATAGTAGCCCAGAGAAGAAGGAAGAGGCTGACAAAGAAGCCCAGCAGAAGTACGAGGAGAACAAGAGAAGAGCACCATGGGGGTGCGCTTGGTTCCCTGCTTGGATGAAGAATGGCCACAAGGCAGTTGAGCAAGGGCAGAAGCTTCAGGTGGTGTTTTTCGCCGGGCAGAAGGGAAAAGGCAAGGTACATTGGAATGACCTGCCGGGTTCAGAGCTGTGGAACGGCGAGGGTCTCGGTGGGTCCCAGAAGGGAGAGGTCGCTTACCTGGACAAGATGTGGCGGGAAACGAATAATCCTGCATGGATATATGAAGAAATCGACGTGATGCAATTTTTGCAAGGCGAATTCAATCTTGAACAGGAGGTGGATGCACGTGACATGGCCAAAAACTGGCGAAGAGGACACATAGTTGGTCTTCCTGTGGCTGGCGCAGCCGACGACAAAGAGTGGGTTCCAAAGTGGACTGTTCAATGCAACAAAGATCTGGAGAAATTTGAGTCCACGTTTTTGATGCACACAGTAGAACCCATCGACAAGCTGCTTAAGGAGGTTGGTAAGGACAACTTGTCGAGAATGCTGGAGCAACATTTGCCGAAGGGTGTGGATTTGGATGTGATGTTTGCATCAAGATGCAGGTTGGAAAATGGACATGCTGCTTTTGCAGTCAATGTCCGTGTCCCGCACGTGAAGGCAAGAGCAGGGATGCACCTAAGGGATGAAAAGATTGTCAACATGGGTCCAACGGGCTATTGCTGATACATTGTAATTCAGATCGTGTTAATATGAATTTATAAAAACTACATGTGTTTCGTGACTTCACAATGTAAAACACATAATTTGATATTTTGAAATACACAACGCTTCTATTGCAGCAATTGTCATTCATTGCTAAAACCCATATCCCTGAAAGAAATGGCTGTCTAGAATGCGAGGTGAGGCTTCTTGATTCGCCCCTTTTTTCAAGGTCAAACATTGATTTGTCAAATGTTTCCCACTTGGTAGTGGCCTCTTAGGAGTGGATCGTTCACGCCGAAAAGACCACCTTACACATGGCATACAAAGCACCCCTTTCCTCGTGAAACGTTGCCCAGCAGCACCACCAGTCACACAGTGCCTTTACCACGAGGGTTAATTCTGAAGGTCGCTTTCACAGGAGACTGACCAAGGATGAGATATTCAAGGAACTGTACAATGCTACCTGTTTGACAAACAAACAGCTTTGTCATTGCCATTCTAGGTCCAGATGTTTAGCAAATCCAATAGATTGCAAGAAAGAACACTTCAAACAAGTAGCTGACCCTAGAGGCCCCAGAGCTGACCTTAGAGGCCTCAGAACTGACCTTCTCCCACTCAAAGTAGATGAAGAGTCACTGGAATTGCACATTTTCCTCGAGGAATGCAGTATGTCAACAAGTTTGAATTGCCAAGTTTAAGCAAGACCCCTTGGAACAAATACATAAGTGTATATATTTGGAAGAAGCACAGCCACTATAAACACTTGCTTCAATAAGGCAGTTTCATGCAGGGGTGTACAAGAGAACACATGTTTATTCCTGAGCTCCAGTAAGTGCATTTTGAGGAAGCAACCTGTCCTTCAGATAGGTCTTTCATGCAGAAGCATACAGTCTTTGCACCTGAGCTCTTTTTTTGCATTGCTCATCTCATCGCAAGGGCACTCACACTCTTAAACAGACAGGACGACATAGAGACCCATTTTTCCAAGGTTTTGTTTTTTCCAAGGTTTTTCTGAATGTTATTTGTATGTTCTGAGGACAGGGGTAGGCGAAGATCTGTCAAGTAGTTATTGCTTTCTCGACATGTGTTTAGTTTGGTTCTCCTGGACAGGAACCTTTGGCAGTGCGCTTGCGTTGGTATTCGCTTTGGGGCTTTGGGGAACATTCCGCAACAACCTGCGGCAGTGCGCTTGTAAGCAATGAACTAGGAGCATGGAGAAGTAGCAAACGCGTGCGCAAACAGGGTCCGCAAGCATACCAAGAAAGCATAAAAATGCAACACAAATGCACCGCCAGGGCCTGCCATTTTGTCCAAAAGGCGGTGGCTTACAACTTTATTGCTCTTGTGGAAATTAGTGTGATGCCTTGACTGGTTTGTGTTGTGTAAGGTTATGTCAGTATCAGTGTCAGTATATGTTCTCATACGCATCTACATAATAATTAAGAGATAGAGGTTTGAGTTTCAATTCTGGAAGCCTGGAAGGTTGCCCCTAGATGCCTCCAGACTGAGCCATTCTAACGTCAGATTTAGAGCGATTCCGTACCAGTTGCTCTGGACAGTTCCATACTTTTGTTGTCCAGTGTACGGCATGCTGCAAGCATGCTAAGTGCCAGGATGATGACAGCCACGATTGCAGCATGGTTTGAGACTTCCCGTAAAGCCACAACTGAACAAATAGCAAGGTACTGTACTTGGTACTGTACATACAGTACATGGTCAAAATACATGTTCAAAAGTTGCTTTGCAGTCAAGCAATCATGCGAATGCTGTTGTTCAGCACACATCTACATTCTCCACCCTCCAGGCAATCCACATGCTTCGAGATCAAGTTCTTTGCGGAGACCTTGAGGCTGAACTCAACAGATCCCTTGCGGACATTCATCAGAGTGAGTTCCAAGTCCAAGTTGACAAAACCGAGTTTTTTGAACAATATGAGAGCAGTCTTCTATCCTTGTCGAAGCTGACTCATCATCAAGAATCAAAACTTCGGCAGCTGCACCAGCGGAAAAGCAAAGAGCTTCACTTGACAGCTCCTGCGGGGGCCGGAAAAACATTTGTGGCGGTGCAATTTGCGCTGGACAAAGTTTACGAGAACTGCAAATCCGAGGGCGCAATCCTGTACGTAGCACCCCGCCTTTCCTTGTGCTTGCATTTTGTTCAGTGGCTCATCGCCAGACATCTGTGGCTGAAAGGGCGAGGAGGAGAATTGGAGGAACTGCTGTCCAGGATCGTAATCATGCACAAACGTGATGAGGATTATGTCAATGTCAAGTTGGTTCTAGAAGGCAATCAATTTGCTGAACACCCAGCCGCTGCTCCAGAGTATTTGCTAGCCATTTTTGACGAGGCTCACGAGCTCTTCACCACTGACGAGATGACCGGAATTTACAGGGACTTGCGGGCAAATCAGAAGCTGCTGCTGTCCGACATGTCTCAATCAGCTTCTTTGCGCGTTGCACTTCCTGAAGTTGAAGACACTGTGAGTCTCAGTGACGTTGTTCGAAGTACCCAGCGAATTGTCGCTGCTGCACAGGCCTTTGAACTGGAAAAGAGCAAGGGAATTACCACCAGCTGCAGCGGAACGAACGGTCCACCTCTCAAAACCTTTATTTTTGAGGCCCTCGATGACGCAGAGATGTTTCACCAATGCTGCCGCTACACCCTCGACGCCATTAGGCACGTCTTCCGCTCTTACCCCAGCTTGAGCAGCTTGCATTTGCGGGTGGCTATCATAGTACCAGACAAGACATTTTGTGACAAGTTCAAGGGACTACTTCGAGATGAACTCACTTCTACATTCACTGCCCGAAAGTTCCAGCTAAGATCCTTTGCCGAGTCCTTACGTTACTTGCGTTCCCATCACCACGACGAAAGAGCAGCAGGGGATGAAGTGCTAGTTCTAGATACAGTTGAGGAAGCCCGAGGGCAAGAGATGATGGTTGTGATTTGTGTGGGACTTGATCAGAAAATAGCTGACACTGACGCACGCAAAACTGACACTCTTTTGACTCGGGCGCGGATCTACCAGGGGATTACAAGAGCTCAGTTGATGGCTATAGTTGTGGACAAGCTCATTCAAGGTGGGTTTCTACAATTCCTTACTACTCTCAAGTTCAACAACAAGAAGTTCGATCAAAGTTTTGCCTTCAGCGAAGGCACCTCAAAAGCGGCAAGCAGAATAAAGAAAAAAGCAGAGGCCCTGCCTAGCGAAGTCGTTGAGGACTGGGAGTGGGTTGGAGGTGCGCTAGGAGTTATGTTTGGCATTGTTTGGCTATTTTTTGTGTTGCAAGTTGAATTATTGTTTTCAACATCACCTTTACAGCTTTTGGTGTGAGTTAAAAGGTAGGTAAGTATGTTTTGTTGGAGAAGAGGCATTTATTTTGGAGTAGATCTAACATATGTGTGTGTGTGTGCCTTCACATGCGAGCTCTCACGTGCTCTCATGTTTTTGCTTTGATATGTTTTTCTCTCGTGTTTATCCTCTCACACGTTTGCTGCTATAAATTTGCTTGCTCGTATGGGCATGCTACCCTTTGGTTTGGAGTAGGGGACCAGGCCAGATATATCGTCGCCTGGTCAATGAAGCTGGCGATGTATCTGAGGATATGGAAATGGGACGCCATTTCCACGTACCTGCTCCACTATTTAGGAAAACGGGAGGAAATGGTACTCGACACACTTGTGTGTCGGTGCCTTTCCTTCTGTTTTCCTCTAGTCTACTCTATAGGTTTGCAGGTAGGCCCCTTAACCTTGTAACGAGGACCTTTAACCCGAACTTTTGGCCTTTACCCACTAGAATTGACCCCCAACTTTGGCTGTCTTGCGTGTCTTGTGCTTCTTGTAACCTGGTAGCACTGGCCTCCAACTTGGTACCATGGCCTCCAACCCACTAGCGACGACCTCCAACTTTGCTTCTCGCTGTCACTTTTGTTTTGCTTTGTTTTGCTTGTGCCTACTACCTACCACCTACTAGCGACGGCCTCCAACCTTAGGTGTCGGCCCCCAACGGCCTTGCGTTGGCCTCCAGCAAAAAAAGCGATGGCCTTTAACCTACTACTTGTAATTTCTGTTTTGCTTGTGCCTATTGCCCACCACTTACTTGCGATGGCCTTTAACCTACTATTTGTCCTGGCGCCTCAGGTTTTTAAACTCAGGCTGGCGTGTACGCATATCCATGAGTGTGTCTCTCCCAGTGAGAGTCCAGGGTGAGCCCGCAGAGTGCCCCCTGTGGACCCGTTGAACGGGTGTCAGTCCATTGTTCCCCCTGCCTGGGAACGTAGGTGTCCGAAGCGGACAGCAGGAGGCTTATGCCAAAGTTATTTGCCAGGATCTGTCGCACTCTTGAATTCCAAGCTGGCTCATGCCGTTACGTGACCGCAGCAGCTCAAGCTGGCTTGACGCTTCAACGTGGTCAGAGCGACCGAAGCATTTTCGAGGTTCGTTGGAACCTGCCGAGAACTTAACCCCCTTCCTCCCCCTTCCTTCTTTGCCTTCTGGGGTGTTCCTGAATGGAATACTCAGTGTGTCCCTGGACGTTTGTTCGTAGCTGGGAACACCTGCCCCTTTTTCCTTCTTCTTTTTCACTCTCTCTCCCTCTCTCTTTCTCTCTTTCTTTCCTCTCTTCACCTTCCTACTTCCGTGGGTGTCCCTGGGTGCTTTCGTCATAGCTGGGAGCCCTTCCTTTTTGGTGTGTCCTTGGACGCTTGTGTCGTAGCTGGGAGCACCTTTGCGTCCTCCTTTGTCTCCTTCTCTTTTCTCCCTCCCCCTCCCTCTTTCCTCGGGCGCGGCGTGTCTACAAGCAAACTAGGCTTCTGCGATAGGTTCCTCAATGAGGTTTGGCCTGTCATCGGTTTGTCCCCTTTGATTTGGTTCCCCTGTCATCGGCCCCCGCAGACGTCTTCACTTCTTTTCTTTCATGTCTTTCTGTCTTCATGTCTCTTCACCCTCATCCTTTCTTTCTCTTGCGCGCACTATCGCCCGGACCTTAGTTTGTACACATACACGCACGCGTATTCTACTTACGAGTTTCAGGTGGCCCAGGTTTGTTACAATGAGGTTTGGCTCAACGGTTGTCCCTCTTCACTTGGTTCTTCTTCATCGGCAACCGCACGAGCTTTTTGTCTGTCTCGTCTCTTTCATTTTCATCTGTCTTCTTTGCGTGCACATGTGCCTCGCATAACCCCCTTTCCGGGCAGGATGGGGGTGCCTCCTTTCCGGGCAGGATGGAGGCCACATGCCTCCCTTCGGGGAGGCGTGCGTGTGTAACCCTTGGAGTCACAGGGAACCCTCTGGTTTGGAGCAGGGGACCAGGCCAGATACATCGTCGCCTGGTCAATGAAGCTGGGGATGTATCTGAGGATATGGAAATGGGACGCCGATTCCACGTACCTGCTCCACTATTTAGGAAAACAGGAGGAAATGGTACGCGACACACTTGTGTGTCGGTGCCTTTCCTTCTGTTTTCCTCTAAATTTGTACGTTTTCATTTGTTTGCTCTGATGTTTATGCACTCTCACATGCGTGCTCTGCACAACAGAGGGGCTGCTATTCATACAAAGACATGAGTTCGTGACGGCTTGTTAATACCCGACAATGGAGTCTGAGGTCGCTTGCTGGTTCTCTTTACTTAGTTATCTTCCTCTATTTACTCTTCAAAACTATTTCTCCACAAGTGTTCTTCCATATGTAACATTTTGCTTGTTTTGTGGTGGCAATAAACACACAGGTGAACATGTCAGACGGGCTGGGCATATGACCGTAAGATCACATGAACATGTGAGTGGTATTATTATGTTATGAAACAATATTGGCATGTGACCAAATGACAGAGGATGATTCAACATCTGGAGGGTCATAGTAGGGACAGAAAACTGAGTTCCAGTTCCAGCCAATGTTTAAAGTGGTTGCCATAGATTGTGTTTGCTTGGAGGTGCACCCTCCTGGCAGGAGAAAGATGGCGAAGGCATGGACACTGCTGCTATGACTGGTTTGAGTTTGGCAGTGGTGAAGGACAGGTGAGTGACAACAACAGCAACAGCAAGTGGAAAACCATGTTGCAATTTAACCACTGTGATTCGTGAGGCTACCCGGGTTCCGCACAGCAACATGGTGAGATGTGATTCGTCGGATTCTAACTGCAATTGCACAGCCAACCCACCACATATGATGCGTGCATGGTCCCAATGACGTTTCCATTCTCGACACAGTGTCAATTCTACGCAACATGACATTCAACATCAACGCGACACCAGTTTCATTCAGGTCTTTGTTTTGCATCTGCAAACAAGAGTTTGTTCATGCGTTGCTCGAAACTCACACAAAGGCCCACTGATGGGAACGGGGTGCAAATAACGCACACACACAAAATACAAGGTTCTTTCATGTTTTTTCCAAGATTTGCTCAGGTCGAAGGCCTGTGAAGGGAATCGTTCCAGGATTTAGGTCGACAATTGCTTGATGTTCATTGCATGTGACTTGCGTCCATCAGGATGAGCTTGGTGGCATTGAACAGCTTCTAGAAGTTTGCATAGTGAAGGACTGGGCAGTAATAACGATTCGCCGCATGTCATGGACTCATTGTAGTTTGCACGCTACCTGAACCAACGGTTTGACTGTTCGACTGCTTTTTGCATGGGAAGGAAAATGATGATGGGGCAAATAAATTCATCAGCGCAGATGGCAAAGCCCAAGGAGAAATCGACAAGGTTCCCAATGGCCGGGCAGGGCAACGATTGTAGCTGTGTTGGAGTGTATAGCATGGAACTTGGAGTATTCTTATGTTTGTTTGAAGGATACTGCCAATGATACTACCAGTCGTTGTATACGCATACAATCTCCATCTATATATATACATATGTGTATACTCGTTTCAACGCTGAGGTAATCGTGATTTGCTTCAATCTTCAAACAGGATGCATACTGGAAGGTTTTATGGTTTTTGGAGCTCTCTTCCACCATTTTTTTCGTTTCTGATTGATACCCGCCTGTCATTCTTAGGATGGACCTCGTGATGATGATCGATTTGAGACATCGATATGGGATACAGACAGTAATCAGACCAAATCGACAAGTCAGACATTGGCTTTTGACCCGCGCATTGACCAGGCCACTGTGAATCGGCTGTCGTGTGAGTGGATAAGGGTGAAAACCTGAGTTGGTTGTCAATGTAAATTGCTTATATAATTGTAAGTGGTTTGCATGCAAACCAGGCCCGTAGGCACGTAGCTGAGTCAAGGAATGCAGGTCTAGGTGAATGGGCACTGCCAACGGGCTATTTGTACGGTGTGTGTGTGTTGAAACTTGTATTCATTTAAACAGCGCTGCTCTGTGAAACAAAGGAACAAAACAATCGAGCATTTTGAACTTATATTCTTTAGCTGCTTCTTCACAGACTGGCAATCACAAACTGTTAAGAAATTGGTGAGTGCTCGTTAGCTACACCTGTTCTTTTCCATTACAGCTGAATGTGAACCTAAATAGGTTTGTATGTAGGTGTTCCGTGCTGGTCCAAACTAAAGCCGCACTCTTGCTAGTTTCTACCAATTTGAGCTTTAGGCCTGGAAGCTTGAAGTCAATTAATAAATCCAACCTGAAGGTAGGTCCAGGCAGAGCGCAGGTCTCAGGCAAAGGTTTCAAGAAGCCTTAAATAGAACCCATATGCTGAGCTTGCACCGTCCGACTTGGCAACACTCCCTGCCGATATGTTTCAGCACTGCCCATGTACCGTTTAGATGTTTTGCAGCTTTAAGCAGGAGGTGATGACAAGTTCAATGGCTGCAACCAGTTGCAAAAGTGGGCTTTGAGTCTTTGACGCTTGGGGAGAGGCTTGCCAAACTTGTTTTGATCAACGCATTAAATAAATCACATGTCGCGCCATCAGCATTGGAAGCACACCAAAGACAAGGGAAGCGTCAGGCCAGCCCGAACAATGTCCTCCAGTCAAATGCAACGACGCAACTGACAAGTGCAAGGCTTTAGAAAGTCAGACGTGTCACAGACCGACAGCTTTATATGAGCATCCGACAAAATTATTGGAGTATTAAATATGCAAGAGGCCGCCTAGTGCTTTTGAGAGGTGAAGAAATCCTTGGCAACCGATAGGGGACGACCCAGCATAGATACCCCTATACCTACCAAGATTGTTTAGGTTAGGATTGGTACTTTGATGGCTGTGCATTGGAATCCGGGGTTTACAATAGGAGCAGTTCTGAACCTGAGTGCGTCATATAGTAAGGCTTAGTAAGGGCTATCACACCATTGCCAAGTGAGTGCGCCGTGCTGAAAGCAAATGTATTGCCTTGGGTCTCTGGAAGTTTGTGGATTGTGAGGGAGCTCTCACGGACAGCTCAACGGATACTAACCGATACCCTTGTTTGCAGGTTTACATGCTTTGGTGCCCCTTGTCCCATTTGATCATTGCGGGTGCCCACGCAGGTCTCTCATGTTTATAGCTTGCCAGAAGCTGAGAAGCAGACATGTATACAAGGTCAACCAACAAGCACTAGCACTGAAAACACCCCAGGCACTGGTTCAACAACCGCACACACTGAAGAGGGCACACCAATAACTTTTGCAAGCACACCAAGCCACAGCCCTGCTGCTTGCTTCCAAAGCCTCTCACACGGTACTGATATAGCTTTAGGCCCCGAACTGGAAACACAACTACACAGTAAACAAAGTGCAACGTGGACACGGACAACCGATACTTCACAAGTGACACCATCATGACATCACACTTCAAATGCCCAAATCCTCGCAACCGATAGGGGACGACCCAGTTTGGCATATGGCATATTGGATGAACAAATAGTTTTGTCCGCACCTCACATGAAGGCTGGGTGATGCCGAAGCCAGGAGAAGTACGTAGAGTTGGACACTGAATGCTGTGGAGCGTCAATGACATGGAACACTATAGGAGCTTTGATCGGCCCAGCATGTGAATGTGCAAACCCTTGCAGGAAGCAGCAGAAGAAAGTAACTAGTAGTAAAACTGCAGACAAAGGAATTAAGATCCAAGCGGAACCATTCTAAGATGAGCCTCTCATCACGCAGTCCAGCCTTCACGCCTTGGCTGCCACCAGCAGCCCCAGACCTGAGCGTTTGATGAATGTGCTTGTTGATATCATGAAGAGAACTGTTGTACTTTTCAATGTGGCTATTGGGCGCTGCCTCTTCATTTGTGGATGCTTAAAAGCCTCCCTGCAGAGAAAGCTGATTGGATGATTGTGCTGGCTCATATCTCGTTCTAATGAACCTCCCTTCCCTCCCTGGAGTTCAGGACTTTCTTGGGCCAGACCTTTGGCATGGCCATCCTCACCGGATTGTGAAGAAACACAAGAAAAAGCGGGGTAACGCCATGACCTCTTTCCACTCTTTAGAGCCCAAGCAACCCTGGAGTGTAAGCCACAACAAGCGGGTGTGAGAAGCTCTTTATGAGTGATGTCCAAACACTCTTGATGATACGTATGGCTGTGGCTTTCAAACAAGGACCTGGGAGCCCACAGTTAGCAATGCTTTCCAGTATGCGGAATTTTCATGAATTTTGAATCATAGCTAATATGAGCAGCTTCTCCATGGGCTCTAGTTAAAGTTAAAGACCACATGTCTTACCTGCAAGGTGCTGGGGAGGATCCTCGAAGAATTGCCAGGAGGGGAGTCTACACCTGGTCTCGAGGCCACGATCAACCTCGGCCATATAATAGCATCTGTGGAACATTGCGCGCAGTATATGATATGAGACTACCTAGCAAATTCTGGGATCAGTATATATATATATATATTGGAAATTGAGTGAGAACCCAGTAGAAAGTTGGACTGAAGCTGCCCCGCAAACCAGCTAAATCTCAAATCAGTGCAGTGGTTTGTAGGACATTCCTTTAAGCCTATTGCTTTGGGCCACCCTTCGGTGAGGTGAGGCCTTTGAATTGCCAGGCACGGAAGGAGATTGATCATACCGACGGCAAAAGTCAGGCGCGAGAGACAGAAGCGGGGTTGTGCATGCGTTTTGAGGAACACCCGATAACACCCGTAAAAGGGAGACATCGAAGATGAAGACACAGTTTCGGATCATGCCCCATCAGTGTAATTTGCGCGCAAAAAGCACGAACAGACTGTGAAACCACTTTCCCCGACCCGACGGGATCGGCATTTGTTAGATACTTAGGTAGACAATCCACCCTATTGTTGCCTCTGCTGCAGTGCATCCTGCAGTGCAATGACAAACACAACAATCGACAACAAACCATCACACTGACAACACACAACGACTGATACCGCCAAACATAACAAGTGCAGCCAGTACAACTACAGACAAGAAACAATTACGCAATTGCAACACCAACAACTGACCAGCAGCAATCACACATTCAACACACAATGACAACGCCATACAGAATCATAACCGCCGCACTTCCAGCCAGCTTCAACCCAGTGGTTCCGCCCACCAATGGCCCGACCCAGTTGTCCTGACCTATGATATCTTTGTTTAGTGACTTAAAGAACTGCAAAGCACCGTTTGCCATGGCCGATCCAGCTTGCCTGTTGCTACAAGAAGTCCAGCTGAGCCACGCTGTTTTTTACAAGTGATTTGGGTTATACAAAGAGGGGAATAGTGGCAAAGTCTGTTCTGCTGGGTGCGAGGGCAGAATATGACGTGAAATCTTAGGACTTAGGACTGCTAAGCATATTTTGGCATAGGTAGGTGATTCCGGTGGCCGACTTGATTTTGAGTCAAGAAAACACCCTGCTGTAGCCGTGTGTACCACAATGTGCTTTGCTTCCTCAGGATTCAAGTTCTCAAGCTGCTGTCGCCTGAACGCCCAAGGGAGCCTGTTGCTGCTGTTGCTGATGTCAAGTGCCACACAGAGCTTGCGGCTTGCGTGGGCTTCTCCTTGGGGGGGTTGGCCATGCAAAGGATCGGTGGAGACGGGAGCCCTGTGTACCACCTCCAGGCAGGAAGCAAAAATGCAGTTCCAGTCCCACTATATAGTTTCTTTGTTTCCACATGCTGAGCGCTGCTTTGCGATTTTGCACAACAGTTCAGCTGTAGCTGCTAATTACATCGATGGGAATGTCATCTCTTGGGAGCCATCCCATGGTTTCATGGAAGCACAAACACGGCACAAAAAGTTCTTTTGGACCTACCATTGCGAAACGCGATTCGATCCTGGTGACTTGGTTGGAACCTTTGCCTTCTCACGCACGGTTTCCTAGGTTTTTGGCAGTCATGCACTTTGCTTGCTTGGCTGGTGGCAGTGCTTTGCGTCGCAGTGTGAGGATAGGCTAAGACAATAGGGATGGTGGAGCCTGTGGGATGAAGTTTGCTGATGGATTCTGAAGTAGAAGTGTGCCCCCCCGGATGTTCAATCATGCTTTAAACACCGTGCTGTTTTTGTTTGTTTCTCTACTAGCCTTAAGCTCCATATGAGCAACTGCCAAAACCTCTGATGAAGGAGCATCACTACAGTGACAAATAAGTAAGTAAAATGAGGGAAACCTTCAGGAAATTTCAGGAACGATCAGGTTCACAAGAAAATGATAAGGTTTTAGTATACGTATATATACGTACATGTTGCAAGGTGTGTCCAAAACCTCAGGAACGATAAGGTTCATAGAAAACGATAACGTTGCGAAGAGTGCGCGCTACAACACACAAGAGGTTTTACACGTCGCTCATACAAACAAATTGTTGCTATAATAAATCATTTTGGTCTTCATGACTCTGCGTGTTGCCTTCTTTGCCGAAGGCAGGGCTCGCGCGCTACTTCGAGCAGAAATACAAACAAGGTGGTGATTTTGAAGATGAAGAGTATGAACGAGATGTAAAGGATTGGTGCTGGGTTCACAAACCTTCCGGGATCAAGGCGCCTTTTTTGCTTGCTGTGCGCTTGCACATCATTTTTCTAGCTGCTACAGCCCCGTGAACCACCGCAGATGGTTGCAGGTGTGGCAGGATGCCATTGACTTGAGCCAATCCGGTGGCTCAGGTCATTGTGTCTTTCACTACACAACCGGGCTGGGATTCCGAAATATCACGAACACAAGCAGCAAAGTGGCTGAGGTCTTTGTATCGCGCTCAGCTTTTGTCCCATCAATGTTTTTTCACTTACCAGTACAATCTAGAATCTAGATCAATCTATAGATACATTGCACCAGCACGGATTCAGGCAAGTCTCATTACCGCGGGAGAAAAAGCCAATGCGTTGTGGGGCGCAGGCAAGGAAAAACCAGATGCTACAGGTGACCTGCGTTTTCAGGATTCGCAGTTCTAAGGCTTCTTACCAGCTTTACGGAAATCCTGTGGTTGCTTCTGTATCAGGTCTGATTCGGCGTGCAAGAATTTGAAGTAATGTCTCTCGCATGACTGGTTCACACGACTTGTAATTCTGTAACCTTCACCTGGTAGGGTGAGTACTAGCGTTTGTAACAATACCAAAAGAACCAGTAGGACAACTGCTGGACTGACATGGACTGACAACCATGGACTTCAATAATGAAACATAACAACAGCTACTACTACCACCACTACTGCTGCTGCTGCTGCTACTACTGCTACTACTGCTGCTACTGCTACTGCTACTACTACTACTACTTCTACTACTACTACTACTACTACAACTACTACTACTACTACTACTCCTACTAGTCCTATTCCTACTGCTACTGCTACTACTCTCATACTCTCCTCCTCCTCCTGCAGCAGCAGCAAAAAGATACGATTTCTACTGTTCTCAACTAGCAAACTAGCAAACGTTACGGAGACCAGTTAGTTGGAGAGCTGGTAAAAGGGCAATCGGATGCAACCCACGTGAGCTAAACAGCTACTTTGACGGTGCTTTGATTTTGCCATGGGCTTGTCAGGAGCTGTATATAATAAGCGACCTTTAGATGCTGTCCAAACCGCCCGCTAAAGATTCGCGATTAAGTTTGCGAATTTGAGTCTTCATGTTCATTTGAGCTCTACCGACATGTAGTAGAAACGCAAGGCAATCCTTTGGAAGGGCCGGTGGGCGGAAGTGTCCCCACGCCCACATGTCCCCACTGTCGCAGACGAACAAATTTGACGACTTAAATGGCCCTTGCGCAGCCCCGACAGTGCAGCAGGATTGTCCTTCCCTAAGATCCTGAGCCGAACAGAACTAAGTCAAAGTCAGGCAGAATCAAGCAGGTTCACCATGAGCGGCACATCTTAACAGAGACACTCTGTTTAGCAGGAAAACTAACTATATAAATCATATGTCAGGTTGAAGACAGTTGCTTGAGTCTTGAGTTGGTCAAGTCAGACATAATTCGCTGCAACTTTGGACAGACGCATTGGCAGACTTGGCCTTGCTACAAACTGACGACTGAGCCATGTCGAAATCTGACACTGCCAAGATGATTGTCATGTATTCAATGTTGAGAAATGTGTCCCAAGGGCTTCACGATGATCTCAAGGAGCTCCACAAGCTGACCAATGGAAAGTACTTGGTGGCGCGTGACATTGCCAAGGTTCAGTGTGACTTGTGCACTTGGACACTGAAACTGCCACCTGTGACTTGCAATCCGAAAAACAAGCGTTTGATTGCAGCAAATGGCCACCGGCTGCTAAGTTCAAGCGCTGCAGCACACCTTCCCAAGCCCTTGAAAGAGGAGGAGTTTCAAAACTGGAGTAGTCAAGCAGCAGGCGCGACTACGTCAACGCCAGGCTGACAATAATGAGGATGCTGGCCTGCAGAAGTTCAGAAGATACCCCAGGGACCAGTGGACTGTCAACAGGTCGAGATTCACGCGCTTTACTGGCTAACAGCGTCCGGGGGCCTGGGGCGTTATCAAGCTTTGTGAGGTGTGTTTGGAAGCCCAGCGGAATGCGGTTGTCAATGTGGCCGATGTCCCCTTGTCTGGCGTGTCTGACGTCAAGTCAAAGAGGGGTCTGTTGTTGTGATGGGTTGGGGCGGCAATGACACTGTGTTTGACGGCAATGACACTGGGTTTGACAACACAGTTGACTATGTTGTGCTCAAGAACATGAGGTCTCGCGTTCTGTTTGCGTCTGACATGCCTCCGGGGAGAGGCGCTGTCCAGTTAGGGTTGCTCGCGGTTGCGCTTGGCTGTGTGGTGGTTCAGTCCAACAAGTACAACTCGATCTCAGAGGGCCACAGCTCCCTACTGATGTCATTTTGTTTCAGGACTGGCGTTGCATGACACGGAGGTTCAGGTTAGCTGACAGGTCCGACAAGTCGACAGTGGAGGATGAAAATCATCCCACGTCTGACCAGTCCAAGCCTGACTATGGCAAAGTGCGAAAGATTGACGACAGCAATGGTGCTGTTTTTGGCAAAGTTTCCAGGGCCACCAATGGCTCCACTTTGCCTGACCAGCCAAAGGGTGAAAATGGCTCGCCAAAGCCTTTGTCTGACCGGGCTAACCACATCAAGTCCATTTTCGGAAGAGCCTCAGCCTCACGGTTGGGAAGGCCCCATATGGGCCCACTGTGCAAAAGGCGTTGTTTCCACTTTGTATCTTGCTTTGCTTTCTTCTTTTGGGTTTTGTGTTGCTTTCTTGGCCATGTCCTGCCGCTGATCACTGACGACCTCTTGCTTAGTGGTAAAAAGGCGCGCTTGACTTTTCTGTTGGGTACGCACCAAACCCCCAAGTGAGAAAACATTTTTCGGCAAGGCCGCAAGGCCAACCCAGACTCACAAACTGCAACTGCGTCACTCTGGCACAGCCCCAGCGATCCGCGGCCCTGACAGGTTGCGGATGTTTGCGCGTGATTGATATGCATCTTCGGGGAAATCACTGCGAAAGATCCACGAATGTGCTGCCAATGTCCCGGTTCCAATGCACATATCCTGTGTAGTAGCTGGCGTGAAGTTGTGCCTGAATCCATTCTAGAAGCCCCTCCACGAGCCCAAGGTTTGTCGCACGGATGCTGCAAGCGGACCTATAGAGTAGCTGTAGCGACTCTCGACGTTGTGTGCAGGTCATGATGCGAGATGCCAGTCACTGGTTGCTGATATGACGCATGTTAGCTAGACATACCTTATGGGACCATGCTTTGCGATGAGACCGCTAAAAAACATGCGCGACAGATGTCATTTTTCTGCGAAGAAAGGCTGTGTGGCAATTTCATTGTAGAGTGGCCAGGAGTCTACACCGTGCGGAAGACACCAGACGAATGGCCGAGTATTGAGTCGTTACTAGACAACATGTACCGCAACATGCTCAGAAGAGATATTGAGCTCAAGGGGCACGAGCATGCCGGTGAGGAGAGGCTGCCTGTTGTGAGCCCAAACAGTTGTAATTGACAGTCATCGTGCGGCACACGTTCGCAAGTTCATAGTGATCCACGTGCCCTGCTCTTCTTGACGCAGGTGACGCAGTTGTATGCCAGCCGGGTTGCTTACTGTATTCCCATTATTGCTGATGCAGCCATTTTGTACGACGTTTCCGTGCACCCAACACCCGAAATGGTGGAGCAGGCCGGACCCTTTTTGTACTCTTGAACATTTACATTATCAATCACATGCGTTGCATGTGCCAACCAATTGTTTTGTGTACAGGGGAGACCTGCTGGGGTGCCGGGCGCCCAGCCAGATGATATGCTTTACCTAAAAGTTGCGCTTGCATGGCGATTTAGTCTCGTCATGACCTAGGAACTTGGCCGGCAAACTCTTGAACGAACCTGGAAAGCCGGTAAGATCGGTGATTGTCGTGCGAGTAGAAAACGAGGAGGAAAACTACGTTTCAAATGCTTACGCCAACCTGCTCCCAACGATGCTCGATTGCGGTCAGGGGTGTGAGGGGGGTGGCCTATCCAAAAGACATGCAGAGTTTGGGCACGAGCATGATAGACAAAATACATTGGATATCATCTAAATCATTGTTTCTTTCAGGACAGGACACATTATCAATTGCAGCTGCTCACATTTTCAAAATCCCATCACCCCCAAAGGGCAACCCCACTTGCAAAATCTACTTTTTGTTTGAAACGTAGGTTTCAAAACAATATCAAGGTGGAACTATATGCCAAACCAGTCAGCAAAGCGGGAACCTGCGGTACCAAAGACCTAGCAGCACACGCCACCCTTAATTGGCAATGTTTTTGCCAACAAGTTGAAATGAGTTCCTGTCCTCGCTTTGTTTTGCTGATGCCCTATAGCACAGCAACACAGCCGGGCAATGGCAAAGAATTGCAAAAAGAAACAAACGACTGTGTAGTTGCAAAGCGGTTGATGCCGCAGCATGCGCCGGGAGCTTCAACATTTTAGTGTGAATGGTCTTATAACCATCTGGAGGCAGTTGGCGCTTGCATTTCAAACTTTGTCTATCACTCGTGTAATCCTCACAGAGGAGTCACATGGTGCATCGCGCGTGTTTTCCTAGAAATCAAAGGTCGCAAGATCTGTGCAGTTTTGGGTATTGATGATTTCTAACAACCAACTATGGAGGCCTTACCAGACAAGTTGGAAAGACTTAGATTTGATGGTTTGCCAAATGTTGCACCAGGATGCAGTTCAACTCCACGGGATCCTTTCCCCTGCCATGCTTTTGTTACAGCAGGTTGCATTATCCTGCCATTGTTTGAGCTGTATTTCTTACTGTATGTTACTGTAATTGTTTCTCTGTTTATGTGCATGTTCAATTGAGTTTGGCTGCATGCCGATGGGTTGTCCTTTGATTGTGCCGAAGTGTATATTTGACTTTGTCTTGAATATCATTCTATCAACGGATTTCCTGCGATCAGAGTACTCCTTGCCGATTCATGTTGTTGTATCCTTTGTTTGTTCCTGTGGCTCTTTTTGCCTTTTCAATTCCTCTCTAGCTGCTAGCTGCTTGTGCTCCTCGGTGAAAGCACAAGTGAGAAGGGTGCAAAGTAAGACCCTCGTTTGAAGGGGCAACACCTGTGTAGTTGTTCTACGCTTCATAAGTCTTTAAGTTCTAAGATAAGTAGCTTTAATGGCCAAGCAAAGCAAGCATTGAACTGGGACAAAAGAAAAGTCTCAAGTCGCCGGTTGCACAAACAGTGTATTGTTTCATTGCAATGTTTATCAATTCTTTTGTTTTGTTCCAGAGGGAAGAGCGCAAAGAGGAGATAGCAAAGGCTTAATGAAAACACGTGTCATTGATAAGAGTCAAGTCAGAGACTCACAGACTCACAGAGCAGAGTGCTGTAGCTCTGTTAGTACTAAATTACTAAACGTGATACCGGTGCTGCCTGAGTGAGCCAAGGCTCCGCACCCGTGCAAGAGCGGTTGCTGCAAGACTGGGTACCAAGCACGCGGAAGCGCATTCAGCTTTTGGAAGGTGAGGGACAGTTCCGCCGAAACTCCGTGATTTGCAAAACGCAGAGTCTCACCAAGGGGAGATTCGAGTCAAGGGATTTCTTGTAGCAAATGTGTTTTTGTGCCATTATTGGTGCATTCACCAGGCTGGCTACTGTCTTGGGAGCTCGTGGTGCCTTCAGGGAGGCAGAACGCCTTTGGCGGCAGATCTTGGAGGCCAAAGAGTTGGAACTTGGAGCAGAACATGCAGACACCTTGGCCTGTGCCAACAACCTGGCTGGTGTCTTCCGAGCTCAGCAAAAAGTAGACGAAGCTGAGCCGCTGTATCGGCGGGCCTTGAGTGGCTTTGAAGCGATGGCTGGAACTATGCATCCCTACGCCCTAGCGTGTGCCAACAACTTAGCCATTTTGCTGAAAGACCAAGGCAAGCTAGATGAGGCGGAAGTACTGCATCGACAAACATTAGAACTGTGTGAAAGCCAGCTTGGAGAAGCTCACCTAGACACGCTTTATGCGTTGAACAACCTAGCAGTTCTCCTGGGCGTTAATGGCAAGCTCAAAGAGGCGGAGGCGCTAAGTCGGCGGGCATTGGGCTTTCGTCAATCTCTCCTTGGAGAGATGCATCCTGAGACTCTCATCTCCTGGAGCAGCCTTGCAACTGTCCTGCAAGCTCAAGGCAATCTGGGGGGAGGCCGAGCCATCACATCGACGGGCGCTTGAAGGACGTGAAAGTCAACTTGGACTTCAACATCCACACACCCTAGCCTCCATGTATGGCCTGGCGCAGCTTTTGGAGGCTAATGGCTCCATAGATGAGGCAAGCAGGGTGTTGGAGAAATGTTTGTTCAAATTGCTCTCAGGAACCTTGGAAGTACCCACACCGCACCTGAATGAAAAGCATTGAAGGACAATTTGTGTCCATTTGTGCGGATTGAATCCAGGCAGACCAGCTGTATCTCCGAGAGTTGACCATCACAGAGGACCGAAGCTCGTTTTCCGTGAGCAACCACCTTTCATTTTGGCATGTTGCTTTGGATTAGTTTGTAACTCGCCCCTTCCCAGCGTTTCTTTAAAGAATCTATGAAGGTGTTCAATAGCGAGAAACCGGTTGAAATTATTGGGCAAACGCCCGATGATAGGCGGCTTCCAAGCCTAGGAAGCGGACCTGTGGATCAGTCAAAGAGGGTTCAAACAAATTCAAGGACAATGTGTAGCTCCATTTGTTGATTATGTAATATGTCACTTTCAAAAACCAATAAACATGAATGACAGATGCTTTTCTGCACTTTGAACTTGTGATATTGTGATAGTTTTGTTGCAGGCCTGCTACTGGAACTTTTCCTTCAACCCATTTTGTTTCTTGATTTCTCGTTTTTTCTACTCACTGTCCCGTTGCGAGCTTGGTTGGGGAGGGCATGTTGTGCTGTGAACTTGGAACTTGAGAGAACTTGCCATGAAATGAAGCCCATCTTGGACTTTATATAAGATTATACTTCAAGCAATCGGACATTGAATAGAACATTTGCTTGAATCATCTAGTCAGCTGGACATTCAGCATGTTGTCTATGTGCTTATGTGCGTGCGGAAGAGTGAGGGAGCACGCGCATGGGTGAGGGAGCGGACATGTTTAGGGGTTGAAACGCGTCAGGCTGCGCAAGGGTGGTGCCGTTCCATTGCTGGATGGAATGGGAGGATTCCGAACTTAGAACCCCTTGTCATGGCTGTCAGGGCTGCGGAAGGCTGCTCATGGATGTGTGGAGAAAAACCATGATTCTGGGCCTTACGACAAATGCTTGGGAGCATGCACGCATTGTTTCAAACCTTTGATTCTCCAATCCCTTGATGTTTAAGATAGTATGTTTGCGGTGACCAGGGCGTGACATTTGCCCTAGTGTGGGCATTGATTTTGGCTGCTGTATTGCTGACTGCCAGCACATCATAGCTTGAGGAGGATCCTGAACGGCTATTTCCTCCGACATGAAACTTTGACATCTAAGAACTTTAGTCTCTTTGGTATCAAGTCAATCTCCTCCCAGAGAACGTCATCGCGAGATAAATCCGTATATATAAATTGATCGCAATGATTGATCCGAAGAGTCGTTTCTTCCAGAAAGTCTGAACTTGTTGTGGGACGCCCGACACTTTGTCACCACACATGTTGGGCCTATGCCAAGAACGTTCCATACCATTGAATACTACACACTCGTCGCGCGGTCCAGTGAAACGCGCCAACGGCATATGCGTCACGCAGGGCGACATATGCATAACACACCATTGAATACGTGCGACAAGAAGTTGGAACACAGGCTATCAACTGCTGTCAGAAGCTACAGGCAAAGGAAAATATGTATCGCAACTTAGGACATCAACGGACATCACGTCATCTTGCAACTTCAATGTTCCTGCCTTTCACAAGGCGCACAAGAAGTCAGATGATAGTTAGTTGAAGAGCCACTGTGATGAATCCGAACTTGGCTGCTGCCATTCTGCCACATTAAGCTATTTCGAGCACAGCATTTGGGTCGCATATGTCAGCTTCAAAACTGTGATTTAAATTCCTGGCATTTTGCATAGTGATGTTCAAGGGAACATCCCACTCAAGAATATTTTATACAAGCGTGAATTATTATAGAGTCCTTGGAGTCCTTGGGATAAATCTAGGCTGAACCTTCAATGGTGCGGCTATGCAGGAGATCTATGGTCCTGACCACATTGCGACCCGTGTGAGCCGTAAGAATCTGGAGCGCTTCCGAGGACAACACTCCACTGGCTGAGGCGCTCCTAGAGGATGTGTCCAACATGGTCCAACACCAAGCGAAAGCTGCTGATAGTTCTTTAGGCGTTCACTTGTGATGTCGTTTTTCTCGTTGTTTGTGACGTTACACTGTTCATCCGACCTCTCTTTAGTCTTCATAACTTTAGGGTCATGTACTTCTGTGACGTAATGAACCACATTCCTGAGATGTTGTCGATTCAACACTTGGATGCGTCACCTCTTTTTGTGCGGATCTGGACCTTGTACCCTGTAGAGGCGTCATTATGTGTTTTGAAGTTTGAATTGAAGGGTGTCTGACAAATCATTCTGAATGGTGATCTAGTAAAGTTCGCCCAGGATGGTCACCCCTTGAGGTACAAGTCCTTTCGGCATATCCTCCTTCTCTTCCACCTCCGTCGCTTCAAGACGGACTCGGTTGAAAGAATTTTCCAAGCAAGTTTGTGTCATCCAACTACTGTTTGCAGATGTAACGTACTGTAGTGCTCACAAAATACCAGTTCTTTTGTGGGCCATTCTACCATTGGCTTCGGGAAATAGTTCACTGGGTCGCACGTAGAATGCACGCCGCTAATGAACCTCCATATACTGTATCTTGATCACGATTACATTATATATGTTATATAATCGGTTTAATATTCTATGTAATGAGTGGTAAGACAAGCATGCTCTATGTGTACATTCTGTTCACACCGCCAGGGCGAAGTTTGGAAGCAGCCACCTGATCTTGACTGTGATTGAAGATGATCTGTACATTTCTTACATTGCAATTTAGACATCGTCGCACTGGCTTGAAGACCCTGAAAACCAGGGATCAGGCCAAATGCCAAGTCAATCGTAAGCTTGAGGCCAAAGCGGTGTGCATAGCCAAGCAGGTCATCGCAGGTCATCACGTCAGGTATCACAGACCGGACTCTGGTCTGAAATGTCTTCAATTGAGTTTCTCCGCAAGAGTGTAATTCTCATACCATTGGGTTTGTGATTTCTCATACCTCAGTGTATTCCAAGCACTCACAGCTCAAGCATTTCAGTGACCATGGCGCCAGTGAGGTGACTCATGGCGCGTACCACTGGTGAGGCCCTCATGGTCAATTGCTGGGCTCCCAAGACCTGCTCACATACGGAGCTGCCATGATAGATACCATCTGACTCTTGTATAAGTCCAGTGTTCAGAAGTTGTATATACAACTAAATGGTGGGAAGCGCTTTTTGGCACGAGAGGTTCGCAACCCCTAGAGTCCTCGAGTCTCAAGCGTTTTGCTGGGAAGCGTTGTTAGATGCCCCTAGCTCGGTCAGGTGAGCCCCCCTGCCAATTGGAGAAGAAAGTGTTCAAGGTGTTCCCGAATTCACATCGTTGATTGATTGGCCTTTACCATAATGGCTCAAAGTTCAAAGGGCTTGGAGTCTACCAAACTGCTTCACCCAGTTGGTCGGATGAACAAGCAGTCCAAAGTGGAATGTCCTACCTAAATCCACCAAACTAGATGAACATCTAGTAACTAAACAGCCCATGAGATCGACCACGCAACAGATGATACTTCTTGATGTTCCCTCTCCGTAGAGTTCTTTGGACCTTTGGACCTATCAAATGTTCGATCCAAGTGACCAGAGACCAACGGGAGGTGCACGTTGCAGGGATGGTGCGAGAGGAGCTTCAAAGTTGGAAGCTAAGTGATCCTGAAGTTTTTGCAGTTGGAAGCTGTGAGTTGACAAGATAGCAGGGTAAGCACACCGTTAGAGAGCAGCTTTGCAGCGGTCGAATGGGTGGCTTCGGATCAACAGCCTGGTTATTTTTGAGGCGGGAAGATTCATGAAGACACACAGATATCATTGATATCATACATCATGTCTTTTTTTGGGGAAGGCTCGACTTGTGATGATGCTGTTCGTTTCAAGTCGTGCGCGTCCATGCTATTTCGGAAGTAGGGCGGTCAGATCCTCAGAGCATCTTGAGCTCAAGACCGTCAGCTCTTCGGCTGCCGACGGCTGTCTTTGGCTTGTGCTCAGAAGGACCAAGCCTTCGGATGGCCAAGTCACAACGGTCAATGGACTTTTTTAGCCATGACAACATGTTCATCGGATGTTCAAGACATGTGCTGTTACTGGAACCAAAGAAACATGTTGGTAGCCTGTTTTCCAGCCGTCGACAGAACAATTCCATTATCACCTAGCCAACCTGATTAGATGCCTTCATGGTGGGCAAGATGACCTGTTGGAGCTGCGCTGGAAGATGCAGCAGAACTGCTAGGCCTGGGCCGAAGGGGTCCAAGTTTCTTTTTTCTTTTGCTCATGGGGTCTTCTGCTGATAGCCGTAGCATGACTTACTTGTGGCCTCTCCTAATGGCCTTTCCTGTGGGAAGGCCCTCCTTTCCAGTTTGTTTTCTGGAAGGTTGCAAGAAGGGACACGCGGACTGTCACGTGTTGGCATCAAATGGCGTCGACTCTTCTTTCTCTATGTGTTCAGCTGGTTTTAACGCCATGCTCACCTTTCAATGTACGGCGCAATAATCAGAGACGAACTCGAAAAGGTTGACTTCTATTTCGGTCCCGACTGGTGGTACTTGTAATTAACTTGTTGGACATCGAGATCGACTTCCTTGATGAAGGAATTCCAAGCAGCATCCAGTTTGGTAGGTTAGCAGGTTAGCAATGACAGCTACAGAATATCATCCTGAAATATGAACAACTGCAGAAACTGCAGAGCAAGTAGTTTGCAGGTTGTGGCATGTTTGGAGATCGGTATATTCTTGGAAACAATATGAAGGCTGCCACAGCAATGGAACAACTCCCACAAGGGATTACCTTTAAAAGAGGAGGGAAACCGTAGGTCCAACTTAACCAGGGAGGTCCTCCTGGAAATGTACAAAGGAGATGGCCGCCGCATTGAATCACTGGGCACCCCGAGGCTTACAAGACTCTCCATCAAAGGATGGATGTCTTTTGGATGCATCTAACACCAGGTATGGGCTGCAAAAACCAAGCAAAAGAACTTGACATGTATGCTTCTGGTCGTCACATATTGCAGGGTACACATAGCACTGTATTGCAATGATGTTGTTCATTGTGTAAGGAGGTCCTCCTAGATGTGGAAGCTTTCAATAAATCAAGCGTTTGTTCACTTATGGTAACAATTACTGAGCAGAGTTCAGAACTTATTTATTCAAAGCTGGGCTGGACCTTGGTCTTAGGGTGCTGGAACCTAGGTTTTTGAGATATCGATGTCTCAAGGGTTTCAAGCTTAAGATGTTGCTGTTTCTTGGCTCTAGGGTACATTACGGTACATTCTAGGATGGCAATGTCAGTGTTGAATGGAATGTTCACTTGGAAAGGCCGAACATGCAACGCAGGTGACGGAGAAGCCAAAGTTTCAATGCTTACACATGCTGAGTATTCATTCTTCAAAAGGGGCTCAGGCTTGGCTTGTCGCTGATCAAAACTTGAGAATCAGCTGGGACATGTTTTATTCTTGATCTGTTTGGTATCCAACACATACACATAGATGCTTCCGTTTGGCTTCCTGGCACGTTCTGCACAATGGGCACAAGCTCGCATCTACTTTGCTTCATATAGATGCATGTTTGAACAGTCTAACAAAGAACGGCAGCTCCTCCGCAGTCTTACTTCACCAGGCCGGTGCTTCTTCATTTTCTGGGAGTGTCACCTGCTTTGGTAACCTGCAAAGCACCGGATGAACCTGCTACATCCTGCTACAAAAGCATTTGCCACCGGTGACCACGGGCCACAGGCTCCTCGTCAGTCCCAACGCCCTTCCTCCGCAACCTCCCCGGACGCCGCGAAGCTCAGGAGCTTCGTCAGCAGCTGCAGCAGCTGCTGCTGAGTCCGCTGGGCGACTCGGCGCTGCTGGCGCCCCAACGCGCCTCGGCTTCGGGCTTTTCGCGGTTTCGGGCTTCGAGTGTGCGGAGTCGCGGGGAAGTGGAGTCAGTGCGTGGAGTGCATGGAGAGCCAAGATGGATGTGGTGGACATTAGTGGATGTTTGATCGTTTTTGGTGGGCAGGGTAGGTGTTGCTGTACTGTTGCCTGTAGCGGCTGAGTGGCAGAGAGGAAGGTTGCTTTAGGTTAAAGACTCTCTTAGGTCAAAGGAAATGTATATCCGGTGCGATGACCTGTTGATCGGACTCTTTGCCGACTGCTGCGCATGAAGTGATCAAGAGAAGAAGAAGAAGAAGAAGAAGGCTATTGTATATATACAAACTGTTTGCAAACCCTCTTTCTGCTTGGCCATTTGGTGGTCTCATCTCAACCATGAGCCAAAAAGAACTGGCATGTATCAGCACCCATCAAGAGGAGAACAACCCCCCAAGCATACTGTACAAGAATTGCTGATCAAATTTTGCTCAAAACCATGTCGTTGATCCTTAGAGATCTCTTCAAGTTTCTGCATTGGTTTGATCTCTTGCGCCGCTTCGCCCCAGGATGCATCGAGCTACTACAGTCCGCTGGCTGCTCTGCAGATGAAGCGCTTGAACTCATCAAGGAAAAGTTGCAAGGTGAACTCATTGCTGAGGGGGTTGGGCATGCATCAAGAAACTGGGTGAGGCAGGTGTTTCAGTTGCAGATGCAAAAGCTGGCTAAAATAATGCTAATGCTGGCTAAAATAATGCTAGCTGCTATGGCTTATATAGAGAAAGATTGATCTACATGGCTTATTGAGAACTCAAATGCTTGCTGTTTCATGCTGCTTCCAAACTTTGCTTATCTGCACCCCGTGATCATTGGCACTGAACGAGAGCTGCCGAATCATGTCAGCCGCCTACATACACAGCACCTTGTATGTCAAGGCGCCGGTTGGTCAATGGGTTCCAGCTTTCCAGTCAATCATGGGAGCTGAGCAGAACCCCCATGTAGAGGAAAATGGGTCTCCCAGAAATCTATGTTCCACTTCCATGATTGCTTGGGGGGAGGGTAACCTAGGAACAGGAGATCAATGTCTCTTATTCGCTTCCAACGCACAAGAAGAGCCACGGCCACGTCCTTCTCAGATCATCTTGACACGAAGGGCAACAGCGGCCAACTCTCCCCGGCCCCGGTGTGTAAGTTGAAAGATGAGCCAAAGAGCTGACAAGCAATACGGAAGAGCTTTCCAAGCAAATAAAACAATATACAACACCTAGGGTATGCTAGGGTGTGTTTCTTCATGAGGTTTGAGACCACAGCACTTTAACAAGCCTGATTATTATTAGTTATTAATCACCGGAGATATTCAGACAAGCACGACATACTAAAGCCTGTTGATTTTGTTTCTGGACTGGTTGCAGGACTACAAAGATGAGCCACACATCAGCACCTCGGCATATTCTAATGCCTCAAGATCAACGAGGCAGCCCCAGATGGTGGACATGAACAATAGATCATTTATATAATAATTTTTAGGGTAATACACATGGCGTGCGTGGGAAGACTGACACCGTGGTGAGAATTATTAGAGCAAGAAGCATTTGCTGTAATTACTTTTATTTTTTTTTAATACAAATGCTGAAATAACTTCAATAGCGCAATGTAACAAAATGATCATGTTGGCTTGTCTCTTGCAGCTTGCGACCACGAAACTGAGGAGTGAAGGACTTCCTCGAGCTATTGACACCGGAGGTGCAAGCCAGAGCATGGGATGAAAGCACCGGGTGATGTCATGACGGTGCCTGGCAGAATTCCTACAACCCTAGGGTGAAGGAAGATGCAATTGCAAATACCACCATTTCATGATGAGTCCATTTCGTTGTGAACAGGATGTTCAATATTTAAACTGTTGCAACTTTAGCCGTTGCGCTTCTACATGCCAGAAAGGCTTCCATGTAGCGATTTGGCGCTGTCTACATGTGCAATATATATATAATCTATTTTGACATTGGTGCAGGGCAGACACGTACTCTTCCGACTATGCCCTTCAAAAGAATCCTAGTTTGACGTTTTGTGAGCGTGTCTCTCCTGGTCCCTTTGTCGTTTGCTTATTGTTTATTTTTGGCTGCAGGAGGCGGCAGAACCGTCTCAGGCATACTTGGAGGCGTACTGTACCTCTTTGTAGCAACTGTGGCGTTCTTGGCCGATCATGTGTAAAGTGTAAAGATCACACGTAAAGCGACGGAATGGTTGAATCTTGAGCACCAAGTTTGTATGAGAACCAATTGCTGCAGACACATAATTACGTGTTCGTAGGCTCGCAACATCTGAGGAGTTGATTGGTGACTCATCAATCGCCTTGACATCTCACCTGATGTGGTTCGTGAGAGGGGGTTTGAACCCTGGGAAGGTTCAAGAACTGCGCGGCCGTTTAGAGAAAGACCACCTTGACCCTGAGGAGAGTGGTGTCTTGGAAGCACGGTGCAGTGCGTGCAGATGTTCCTAGGTATCATGACACATGCTGCCACGCTTTTCTTCCATGGTTGTGATGTCAAAGCGATCGTGTGACGAGGGAAATAGGTTCACACAATCCTAGGAGTTCCCTGGATAGGTGGACGCCCATTCTTGCCTATTGCTGGCATACACTTACACTGCAAACACTGCCGGCCTAGGTCTATGAAGCTTCCCTTCAAACAACGGACTCATTTCCTTGCATTACTGTACAACCTTATATCGCGCTGGTGCACCAATAGATGTTCGCACTGGGCTCCAGACTCCAGTTGCTTCGAAGTTGCTTCGAGGTTCTCTATCTCGGCAGACCATGGCCGACAAGATGCGTGCGGATGGTCAGAGCGTGAAATGGCATTGGTTTCACGGATGGTTATCCCTGTCCCTCCACATGTAAACTAACAGCTAGTGGCACTGGAGAGCTGTCACTATCCACGATCGGTAGCTATTCGGCAGGTGTGCAATAGATATTCACTGACGCAGGTGCTACACAGGCTCTTGTTGTTTTCGCATGCAACACCTGCAGTGGATGGTGTCCTGGATGCGTTGGTTTGCCTGAGTCACCAAGGTCACAGCCTTGAGGAGACCCGACGCCGTACTACCCGTTGGCACAAACGGGGAAACACACATAGACAGTTGCTTTGGGCTGATGCCGATATGATTGATGTGAGACTGCTGTCCAAGTCGAGTCATCAAAAAGAGCATAGACACAAGTGGTTTTGACACACTACACTACAACCCAAATATTGTAACTATGTATAGTAGTGTGCAATTACCGTAATACATCCATAGTGTTTGTTGAGGCCGGTCGAATACTTTTTTGCAGGAGCTGTTGTTGCGCATCCCCTCCAGCAGCTGCTTGGATGAGATCGATAGAGATTGACGGGGAGGTTAGGCGTTTCCTTTGTAGGGAGGAAAGGCACAGAGGCTTTGGAAGGCATGGCAATTGGGATCAGTTGCAAAACTGCCTGCAATTTATCATGCAAAGATGTCAACTTGGAAAATGGGCAATCTCTTTATTCCTGTTCCATGACGCGACTTATGGAGGGATTCATCAACTTCCGTTATTGTTTCGGCAGCATTCCACAAGTGAGTTCCTGATCTGTGAACAAGTGGACAGCTGTTGTTTTGTCAGTCGTTCAGATGCAGGCATGAACTACAAGTATCTATAGAGGTGAGTTTGATCACAGCTTCGGAATGGGTTCTGTGTAGCTTGTTGCTGTGGCACCTATCTCACACCAGTGAAGGATGCCCTATTGACACTCAAAGCTGCTCTAAGAGTTTCAATGTGTGAGGTTACTTCACTACATTTCCTGTGTTTGCTTCAAGTACATACTACTGGAAAGGTGGGACATATCGTCATATGCACGCCCATGTAGTTCTACGACATGCACATAGCATGGCTAGTTGCACCTACCTTCTCAAATCAAAGGAACTTGACTTCTCAAATATAAAGCTGGAACAGGCGGCAGAAACACTGACCTGCTGCTTGCAGGTATCGCTGAAGGCATTGGCCCACACACTACTCTGGTGTTTCAGTTAGCCTTTCTGGCTCGAGTCACTGCTTTTGCTGAGCCAAGGTCAAGACTATGCATTTGTGCAGCTGATGCTCCTCATGTTGAAAGACGCGACTAGATCATTTGAGGACTGGGTTTTTCAAAGGCATGAGAGATGCTGGTGGTGTTGAATTTTTTGGACCCAACTGAAACTGAAATGATCAATGATCAATCCAACCTGTCCTCGCTCCAGCCACTTGCTTTGTCAGGCAGAAATCACGATGCTTCAGGAAGAGCTCAAAGAAGCACAGGCAGGATAATGATTAACTGAATCCTGGGAGGCACTTTCAATGGGTCGTTCCTGTTCATGTTGCTTTGTGTGCTGTAGATTGCAGATGTTGCTATGACAAAACACTCATATCCGTTGTGAACTGCATGGTAAGAGAAGGGAAGAGACTCAGTTGAATTACAGTATAGAATGAAATGAGGGGCGCGGTACACAGTACAAGCAACTGGTGGGCATGTGTGTTTGAAGCTGGAGCCACGCCTTCTGTTGCGGGATCCCCAGTCTTGGTCCAGTTGGAGTGATCATGTTCTCATGTCGTGCTACTTCGACATGCTAGATGAGTGTTGCTTGGTGTTGGAGGCCGAAAATGAGATGCTGAAGAAGCAACTCGAGAAAGCAGAGGAACAGGCGGTGTTGGTTCTCCGTATTTGCTCAGCCCAACTGGCTCTCGAACCAGCATGCAGTCTCAAGACTTTATTCCCATGCCATACCTGAAAGGGAAGGGCGAATCAAGATTTGAGACTGCAAGTTTTGGGACTCGCAGACATGACGTGCAAGGACATATGCAAGACTGCATCAAGTCTCAAGACATGTTTTCTCAAGACAAGGACCCTTTGCAAGGATTTTTTTGTCGCCACCCATTTGAGAGCTGTCAGGTGGAAGAAGTCCAGAGAAAAGGAGCTACCACTGTGACCCTTCACATCACGCTAAAAGATCAACCGGCTGTGGTGGCAGACACGGGTGATATCACTTACCATGGAAACATTCGAGATGATGCAACGAAATGTGTCATCTCGTTTCCAGGCAAGTATCCATCCGGATGGGGTGCCCTTGTCAAGGAACATCATGGCAAGAGTGTTGGCTGCGTTTTTCTGTGCACCCCGGAAGATGGCCTTGGAACACACGAGCAAGACCCTGATGCAGAAGACGGCTCTTGCTACTGCAAGGCCATCTACGGTGAGAGAGGTTGGAAGGAGCTTGGCTACCTAAAAGTTGTGAAATCTCCGTGCACAGAGGAAAACATGTTGAAAGAAAAGGAGAAAGCAAAGCCAATGGATATTGTCGTTGTAGCAGAAAGCGCCCCCGCAGAGGAGAGAAAAAAGGGCTGAACAAGAAGCTGAGCAAAAGTATGAGGATAATAACAGAAGAGCACCATGGGGGTGTGCCTGGTTCCCTGCTTGGATGAAGAATGGCCACAAGGCAGTTGAGAAAGGGCAGGAGCTTCAGGTGGTGTTTTTCGCCGGGCAGAAAGGAGAAGGCAAGGTACATTGGGACCAGCTGGCTACTGCCGATCTGTGGGACGGAAAGGGTCTCGGTGGGTCCCAGAAGGGAGAGGTCGCCTTTTTGGAGAAGATGTGGCGGGAAACCAAAAATCCTGCATGGCGATATGAAGAAGTGGATGTGATGCAATTTTTGCAAAACGAGTTCCAGCTTGAGCAAGAGGTAGATGCGCGGGACAAAGAAAAGAATTGTTGGAGAAGAGGTCGCATAGTTGGGTTACCCGACGCGAGCCAGACTGCCAATGACTCCAAGTGGGTTGCAGAGTGGACGGTGGAGTGCAATGAACACCGGGAGAAATTCAAGTCCACCCATTTGATGCACACAACAGACCCCATCGACAAGCTGATTGACAAGGTCGGCCTGGACAACTTGCAGAAAAGGCTGGAGCAAAATTTGCCGTATGATGTGGATGTACAGCTTGTGTCAAGAACCAGGCTTGAAGATGGAGATGCTGCTTTGGAAGTTGAAGTCCATGTTCCACATGTCAAGGCTGGCAAAGGGATACACCCAAGAGATGAAGAAGCATAGCAATGTCAGAATGAAAGGGTTAAAAGAGCTGCGGAGGTTGATGCCTTAACTGGATTACGGCTGTTGGGGTGTAGCAGTATGTGTGCTACCATGCTATCGACAAAAGAAGATATAGATAACAGTGCCCATGGATGCTCATGCTCCACCATGAAACTCGACTGTTGGAGTCCTTCCAAACCAGTTGGAAAGAACCATGGGCGATGATTGTGCCCAACTGGCAAGACAGCTGGTCTACGGATTGTCAATAGGTTTATATAATATGAGCTCGCGCATGCATACAAATCCATACAAGTCCCATAATGTAGCAAGGACAGTGACCTCCCACACACCCATTTTCATCAACTGTTTTTGCAGTGTTTTGAACGTCGACTTCTGTTTGTTCATTCATCTTCATTCTCCACCCTGCAGGCAATTCATATGCTGCGAGACCAAGTTCTTGGAGGTGACCTTGAGCTTCAGCTCAACGGATCCCTTTTGAAGTCTCATGACACCGAATTCGAAGTCCAAGTGGACAAAACCGAGTTCATGGAACGATACGAGAGGCGGGCGTGGGGAGCAAACTTGTGCTTGAAACAAGTGGGTCATAATACGGTGAGTTAGTCTTGGACATGTCGTTGGTTTTACAATGTTATACTGTAATGTTTTACACGTTGAAACGGATTTTTTTTCTCAAGCCCTGATGCGAGGAGTCTTTCAGCCTTGTCGAAACTGACAAAGCATCAAGAATCAAAGCTTCGGCAGCTCCATATGCCCTACAGCAAGGAAATACATATGTCAGCTCCTGCAGGTGCAGGCAAAACGTTTGTGGCAGTGCTATTCGCGCTCGACAAAATCTATGAGAACTGGGACGCCCGGAGACCGATCCTTTACATTGCTCCTCGCCCTTGCCTGGGACTGCATTTCGTTCACTGGTTGGTTTCAAGGCATGAATGCTTGGGACTCAAAGGAGGAAATGTTCAGGAACTGCTCACAAGGATTGTAGTGATGCACAAACCTTATGAGAAATTCGTCAAATTGACTCTACAAGGAAATCGACTTGTCGAGGAACAAGTGGATGCTCCAGAGTTTGCGCTGGTGGTCTTTGACGAGGCACACGAGCTATTCTCCGAGGAGCAGATGATGGCCATCCACACCGACTTGCAGGCGGACCAGAAGCTTCTACTGTCCGACATATCTCAGTCTGCTGCCTTGCGCCCAAAATTCCCACACATCCAGCACCAAGTGAGTTTGGATGAAGTGGTAAGGAGTACAAAGAGGATTGTTGCAGCTGCGCAAGCATTTGAACTCGAAAAGAATGGAGGCGTTACCACTAGCTGCTGTGGGACCAACGGTCCACCTCTCAAAACATTCATGTTTGAGACTCTAAACCATGACAAAAAGCTGTTTGATCAATACAGTCGTTACACGATCCGAGCTATTTGGCACGTTTGTCGAACCTATCCCACCTTGAGAAACTTTCACCGGCGGATTGCGATCATTGTGCCGGACAACAAGTTCCTTGAGAAGTTCCAGCCGATGCTTCAAAGTGAACTCAGCGCTACGTTCACTGCCCGAAACCTTCGGGTAAAGTCCTTCGAGGAGTCATTGCGCTACTTGCATGCACATCACCATCACCAAAAAGCAGCCGAGGATGAAGTCATTGTTATGGACACGATCGAAGAAGCCAGAGGGCAAGAAATGATGGTTGTGATTTGCGTTGGTTTGGACGAGGAAATTGCTGATACAAACAAGACTGATACGCTTTTGACTCGTGCGCATATCTACCAAGGAATCACAAGAGCACAGTTGATGGCTATTGTGGTAGACAAGCTCGTCCAAGGAGGATGGCTTCAGTTTCTTGCGACCTTGAAATTCAACAAGAAGGAATTTGACTCAAGTTTGGCCTTTGGTGAGGTCAGCCCAAAGGCTGCAAGCAGTATAGTAAAGAAGCAAGAGGAGGCCTCCTTGAGCAAAGTTGTCAAGGACGAGAACCTTGCTGTAGTGTTGCAATGTGTATTTCCAACATTTTGCCGGACACTGTGTGTGTGTGTGTGTCAACCCCTGTTCCGAAGGGTGCTTACACGCAGGGGGCTGGAGTGTGCTTCAGATGTCTCCAGCCAATGAAGACGCATCTGTCGCACAGTGACATAGTTCTGGGACGCCAGAACTACGTACCTGCTTTCTTCAACTGTTGACAAGCTGTCCACTCTTGCTTTTTGTTTCCATGGTGTTTCATGATACTACCCCCAAACCTTTTCCACCGCGTTTCTGCAGCTGCACCGTGCATTTAGTGATTTCTGCAGACTTCAAAACAGTTTGTTCAAACATCTACAAGTTTTGCGGACTCTTCACCTTACCGTTCTTCACCTTCCTTCCCATCGTGGCAATTGAGTTAACTGAAAACCAATGTCAGAGTGTGAGCCGCTCAGTCTTCCCACTTGGGTGCTGGGTGTGATCCCCTTCAGTGGGGCGCCGAAGCCATGCCGGAACTCATTGTTTTCCACTTTCACAACTGACTCCACGTTTTCCACTTATATAACTGAATTAACGGAGTTTCGAGCCGCCGGGGTGTAAACGATGGAATACCATCAACTTGCAATCACAGCCGCCGGGCTAAAAAACGGATTTGATAGCCACCGGGCTTAAAAACGGAAATTCACCCCACTTGAGGCAGGTCTCCCAACCCCCCCCCGGCGAGTTCTAGTCCCTACCTAATTAGGGTAACAGAGGGAAATGGTACTCGGCACACTTGTGTGTCGGTACCTTTCCCTCTGTTGTTCCTTATCTTTTCTTCTCTACCCGGGCGGTTTAAGACTAAAGTCCCGCTCCCTAACTATTGCACGTAATTCGCTTCATGTACATACACCTCCCTGCCCCCCCCCGCTTTCCTTCTTGCGCTTTTGGTCGTTTCTTGGGCTTTCTCTCAGGCTTTTTAGGTTGCTCTTGAGGCTCGTTTCCCTACCCCAGTCAAGAGCTAAGTATTCACTTTTTCCTACACCTACCTTTCTCTCTTGACCTCTTAGCGCTGCTCTTTCTGTGTTTCTTTCTTTTGTTTCTAAGGCTTTTTAGGTACCTATTCAGGTTCTTGGCACGAGCGCCGCAAAGCGGCACCGTGTGTGTGTCAACCCCTGTTCCGAAGGGTGCTTACACGCAGGGGGCTGGAGTGTGCTTCAGATGTCTCCAGCCAATGAAGACGCATCTGTCACACAGTGACATAGTTCTGGGACGCCAGAACTACGTACCTGCTTTCTTCAACTGTTGACAAGCTGTCCACTCTCGCTTTTTGTTTCCATGGTGTTTCATGATACTACCCCCAAACCTTTTCCACCGCGTTTCTGCAGCTGCACCGTGCATTTAGTGATTTCTGCAGACTTCAAAACAGTTTGTTCAAACATCTGCAAGTTTTGCGGACACTTCACCTTACCGTTCTTCACCTTCCTTCCCATCGTGGCAATTGAGTTAACTGAAAACCAATGTCAGAGTGTGTCCCCTGATTATTGTTTGCTTTACTTTTGCAACCTAATGTGAATCAACACCAGATGATTTGCCAACACTCATCCATTGTTCGAGCAAACATTTCCACCATATGTATATATATATATATAGAGGCATTATTCATTATGATGGGTATTTCATGTTGCATGCCTACAACTAGCTCGGACGTTTATTCACGATTTGGGGATTTTCTGATGCAGTTCGTGTTCAAGCTTTCTGCAAAAAGGTTTGGCCGCAGACTGCCTCTTCCGCCGGAAGGAACATGGTGATGAACTTGGTCAGACAGAAGCAGGTACAGGAGCCTCAGGACAGCGCAGTGAGGTTGCGAAGGACGGGGGAAGGGCACCTGCAGCAGTTTCTACAAAGCCCTGCTGCGTTGCCTGTATGTTCCACACGAAGACCAAAGACCCTACAAGGATCTACAAGGGACATGTTAACTTATGGCGATTAACCACACCAGACCCAGACTGACTGACGGGAACCTTAAGTACGCAAATTATACATCGATGTTTTTTTTTTGACATGGCTTTAAGATCAGATAGAGTACCTGAGCACGGCTGAAAGTTGATGCGCCACCATCCACATCTCCTTGTCAGTTTGCAGCCCTGCCTTGCACTGCTTTCGCATCGTCCCCCCCTGGAAGGAGCGCGGTGATGGTGCTGATCAGACAGACCAGTTTGCCTTAGCAGATCAAGGGCCTGAACAAGAAAGCAGTAAGGTTGCCAAGGACGTGGAAAGGGCACCTGCAGCATCGACAGGATGCAATGTGTTTATCAGCCGATTGAGATATTTCGAGCTGGTAGCAGTGTGTCTCATTTGTATGTGTATATGAATGTATATAAAGACGTGACATTGAGCAACAATGAGAATGACCAACTTGCTTGACGCTGCTGGAATTGTGCCAGGTGTAGGCAGCCTTGAACTGGATGCTGCAACTGTAGTTATCGTTCCTTGACTAGTGGCTAGATCTGTGTACACGATGGGTTGCTAACAGGTATGATGTGTCACTTCCATTCCCACATCTCCCGCATTGAGTTCCGGCCTATCATGTGGCAGCCTTTCAAGGAGCGAGCTCAAGATTCAGGGAGATTTGAGACATCAGTATGGGATACTGACAGTAATGACATCACCTCGCCAAGTCAACGATTACTCTTTGACCCACGACTTCATCAGGCTACTGCGACTTGTCGTTGTGCTTTGTGCGGAGGGAGGGAAAACAGCTGGACCAGTGTATAATAGGATTGGGGCACTGAAATTCAACTTGATTGTTGTTGGCTGGTGAACATGTTTTAATGGTCAGTTGGTTCTGATAGTATCACTCTTCGACCTTTTTTTGCGCTTACGAGAGAATAATATGTTTTAAACAAGTACCAGCGCCAGTCATGTAACCATTGTTTTGTTTTACCGGTGGGGTTTGCAACAAAGAAGCTTGGAGATGATGAGGAGTTGAGTGATACCTTGAGCGGAACACCTCCAACCCATTGTCGCTAGATCAATGCCCTCAATGAATCACCTTGACCGAGAAGCAGAAGACCAATTTGCAGCTGAGTCCTCCCTCCCCTCCCTCCCTCCCTCCCTCCCTCCCTCCCCTCTTTGCGTAAATTCTGGGAGAAGAAGAGTAGTTGGCGCCGCGTGTTGTCTCTGTAATTAATTAGATGCTTGTGCCTAACTTGGAGGTCGGAAGCCTTGGTAAGTGATACGTTAAGTGTCCTTTGGCCACACAAACAGAGCTTGGTTCACCGTTCGGGTTTGGCTGTATGTGTGCTGCTTGGCTGTATGCATGCTGTAACTACTCACTCGTGTGCTGCAAAGCCCTTTTCCGGGATTCGAGGTTCGCGGATTCATGTAGTCAGCTGTCCTTGCTTACAAGCTTGGTGTCCACTTTAATGAATCCGATCCTTGTTCAGCTATAATTCTACATAATTCTACTGTCAGTCACTGTTGTCTACAATATGTTAATCTTGCTTCTTTCAAGGATGTTATTTTCTGTTCAGGGTCTGTGGCCGTCCGTGCTTCCACTGTGTTCTTCTCCCTAATCAGAATTCTGGGTTTGGTTTATTTTTGTGTTTGAGATTCCTTCCAACTGTCCAGTTACTTTAGCTCTCAATGTTGGGTGACGTTGAAAGTTCATGAAAGTTCCTTTTCCCAAAAGCTCCTGCGAAGAGTTCTCCCTAAAAGAGGCTACCAACGAATCACAGAACCGACATCCCAGCACTACATCTCACCCAACGCAGGTCGAAGCAACTTCCTTCGTGCTTTGTTTTGGTGCACGTTCCTCATCTCCTGAGGATGTGGCCGCTGCAGATCCCACTGAGGAGCTGCGGGACACCAGTGAGCCAGATCGGTGGGCGTTGTGTTGGGTAACGTCGCCAAAAGGGAGGAGAGCGCCCGGCGTTGTCATTAGTAAAGTTTCTGCATTCTCCACCTTCTTGCCATCCTGGACAGAGTCTGCGCAGAGAAGTAAATAACCAAACTTGGGCTCAAGACTTTCCGCCTGGGCAACACCAGCTGACGTTCTCCAATCCGCATTTGTATAATCGTGTTGCGCCACCAAAACTATAGTAGGAATTGCTTTTCTCGGTGGAGGAAGAGGCAGATGCTGACTTGATGGACACAGTGAATGTTCAACAAGGCGTGCTGTTGGAGGCAGGGCCACTAGACATGCCGATTGAACGTTGGTTAGGTAGTGGGGGTTCAATTGCACAATGCTGTTTTATGGCATGCACAGGTTAAATTGTATGATATTTGGCCTTTTTGGTCTTGGCCTGTGCAGCCTGAGACACATGGGCTTGGGTGTCTGTACGTGATTGTAGTTCTCAGACTTTCCGGCTTGCCCTTCCTTGGTATCTTTTTCAGAACCAGTTTTGTTACTCATGCATATTTGTTGATTCCGTTCTAGATTGATGTCCCTTCCCGCCCTGGTTTGGGTTCCTGCAGAACCTGAGCGAGTTGGGTTGGCTTGGGCTTGGTTCGTTTGTTTGGTTGGTTAGTTGGTTGGTTTTGGTTGGTTGATTGGTGTGCTGCTGGTTGTTGTTGTTGTTGTTGTTGCTTTTGGCGGGGGGGGGGTGCGCGAAACTTCATGCACTTTTGCTGAGACTTCTTTGCTTGTGCCTCACTTGGCTCGAGCGCCGGCAGAAAAGAAACGTGAGCCTGCTCGAGCTGTACTTAGGATACTTAGGTGGATTTGAATTTGAGACATAGTTTGAGAGTACTTTGGTAGTTTGGGACTTTAGCATGGTAGCGGAGCTCCCGATGCTGGGAGGATACGCGCTTTGAACCCAGGAACTTCAAGATGACAGGTCAGGCTACCGACTCTGCTGGAAAACTCAAGCTTCCACTACCTGAAAAGTATGATGGTACTTGTTGGCGAGCTTGACCACTGGATTCGCTTTTTGGATTGCTCGGCCAAGCGAAGGCTCCAATGGGTTTGAGACTGCGAGTAGGATGGCAGAGAAGTTTTCACTTCCTTATGCGACGCAACATGTGTCACTTCTCACCAACCCAGCAACCTTTGAAGACTTTAAACGCTTGGGAGACGGTCAAGGCAAATTAAACGACCCTGCCTGATAGCGTACTTGTTTCCACTTTGCTGAACAAGACAACAGGAACTCTGCAACACGCACTTGCGCTTGAATGCGTGCACGTTGACTCTACACACAGGCGCACGCTGTGTTTTCTGAGTGCTTTGGTTGGCGTCGTGTATCGTCCGGGACCAGCAATAGCGGATATGTGTTCAGGCAAAGGGAAAGGCGAGGAAGGCAAACTGTCCCTGACAAAGCTTGCCATGTTGAAGGTCTGTAGGCAAAGGTAAGAATCCAAGGCAAAGAGTGAAGGTTATGGAAGCAACTTTGGAAAAGGAACGGGCAAAGGAATTTTTGGCCCAAGTCAAAGTAAACTCCGGTATACCCAGTTCGAGTACTTCGGTATCGAACCAAGGTGGAAAAGTGAAAGACTTCAGTTTCTTACATCAGTGGAAAGCCAGCGCACTTTTCTGACAGATGCCCACAGAGGCGTGTGAAAAAGCACTTGCTGAGGAGCTCTGAAACTTTAGATCATAGGTCTTGGTGTTAAAGCTTGGAGTGCCGATGTAAACTTGGAACACTAGTAGTGCCTTGGATGGTCAATACGTGTGCGCACTCGATGACTTTGATGTGAGTGCGGCTTCGATCTTGCTTGGGAGTCAGACTCTTGGTATACTTCTCTGGTTGAAGCCACTGAATTAGAAGGACTGTGCCTACTTGACGCAACCAGACACCTAAGATGCCCCGCCTGCACAGGCCTTCGATCGCGCGAGAAACCGATCAAGTTCTCCAGAGTGAGTGCTTCATTCGCCATCATTTGGGACATTGGAGCTAGCAGACGAAAGGACAAGTCTGCACGCTGCTCCTGTGATTTTTTCCGGCTTCACAGTCTCAGGAGGAGGAGGAGGAGGAGTGGGCATTGCGGGGCATTGCTGGAGTCACCAGTCGGAGTCTTTCTGCTTAAGCGCCAGGACTTGAACGGTATGCGCAACACAGGTGGCTACCTTATTCCAGCTGGCTCCAGGGAATACGCCATTGCCCGCAACCATTTGGATATGTTTCCCGAAAGGATGGAACGCATCCGCCACTTGAGCCAGACCTGGAAGGGTATCGTTGGTTTTGTGATGGTGGACACTTTGTCATCATTTGTGCGGCAGAAGATTTGTGGCGCCGCAAGTACCGAGATTTGGCCCTGGTAGCGCGTGGAGGGTACCACTCCAGAATGTGCTCGGCAAAATAGGGTCTTGGCATGCTGTCTGCAGTCTCCATTGCCCATGGCAAATGGATGGGCTTGAGCCAAACACCCTGGAGCCAAGTGTTCTCAACGGAAGAGGCTCAAGGCCCTTTCGGTCATCGAAGGGCATCGTCGTGATTATACGACCGATGCCGCCAGGGCCAATCTTCTGGCACAACTTTCTGTGTTTCATGGCAGCTCAATGCCGCTGGAAAATGGTCAGTCGTCCCAGATATACCCTTTCCACGTTTGTCCGGCAAATTCCCGCGCAGACCTGTTCTGGATGAAAAAGGCCGGATTTGGCTTGGGAAGCCGGATTTAGCGATTCCGCAACTTCACAGCATATAACTGATGTTTTTTTTTTAGGTGGTCGCGGTTTTCTGGTCGCAGGTCTGGGGCTCGGAGGATGATGGTGCTTTCCTGTCGGGCGACTTCCTTGGCGAGTGCTGGCTTCCACCGCTGGGCTCCTTGACGGCGGCGTCCAAGCGCTATGTGCTGCCCTTGACCAACGCGCCGCCCGAGACAGGCGCCACACGATTCTTGGGAGCTGTGGAAAGGTGATGGCAGGTGTTGGGGAGTTGGACTGGGTTTGGAATCTTCGAGGCACGTTTGCATGTGGTGGTGATGTTTCATGTGTGAAGTGTGCCCGTGGAAATCCAAGCCGGCGATATATTTTCCTTCCGTAAACACCACCCAGAATGTTTGGCTGAGCGATTCTATGTGTTCGTCATATGGGGTGCCAACTGCGCAGTGGGAGCTATCGAGGTTCGCAGATTTTCGATTACGATTCCCAAAGTGTTCAAAGGAAACCAAAGGACGCGCCAGTCAAACACGAAAAACATAGAACTGGGCCAGTTTGGCATTTTTTGGGAGACTGACTTCGATACCGAGGGCGACCTCCAAATCATGATCGATAGAATGCCCAGGATACCACAGCAAAAAGTTCAGCAAGGTGACCTGCGAAGGCCTGTGGGCGTGGCCCGGCAAGGGTCGTGTCGTGGGGAGATTCAGCGGTCTTTGGAACTGCCGAAGACCCATGAACTCTGAAAGACCGAACAGGACACATCACGCTTTTGTTTGCAAACACCACGTCCTCCAAAAGATAGAAACATGATGATGAGTGAGTGTCTTGATTTGCGTTGACAACCTCACATCATGTCACATCAAAATTCGTTAGCTTTGAAGCCAGAAGTTGGAGGCGCCAAAAAAAAACACATGTAGATCCCTTAGTCCAACACACCCAGCGGCCCATTCTGGGCTGCCCTCACGTATTCGGCCCGATGGCCAGGCCATTTGATCGTCGATGCTTCTTGGACCTTCCCCAGCGAAACTGTGCCGCCCTTGCCCGACGTGAAGAGGGAGGAGATCATGCATACTGGCAGCTTGGTGAAGTGGTGAAGAAGAAATCGGGAGAGTCAATAAACTTTCAATGAGCGTGGCTTTGGTGTTTCCATGTGTTTCCACTAGTTATATACGAGTTGCTCATTGGTGGTTGAAGATAGTTTCAGAAAGAGAGGTTTCTTAGGAAACCGGCCTCGTGTTTTTTCCTTTGACCATGGGAAAAGGGATTGGGAGTTTGTTGTGGCATGTGGTTTTTGTTTGTTTGGGGGAATGTTCAGGACGTCCTAGGCCCTTGCAACCTGCAAGAGTGTTGTCATTCTGGTGTGCAATGGATTTGGTTTTTGATTAGAGCACCATGGAACGCATGGGTATCAGAAGCAAATCAATGAAATCAAAAACAAATGATTACCCGGATGAAAAGAGGCAGGACGGAAGGAAGAGAGGAAGGAAGGAAGGAAGCAAGGAAGGAAGGAAGGACGGACGGAAGGAGAAAGGAATGCTCGAAGGAATGACGGTAAGAAACAAGAAGGCAAGAACTGCGACAATGCCACAAAGGTCGACGATGTATACTTCCCCGCTGGCGCTATTTGTAATAACCTTGTGACCTTGGATTGAAAAGTGCATTGTATTAAAACCGCATTTCAATACAACCTGAGCAGAAACGTTCCGCTCCAATGAGTCCAATGTAGCGTATACCTTTTGTAAGCCATCCGCGGGCAAAATTGAAGGCAATCAGGAGCCGTTCCAATGTAGCAAAGCTTTTGTGACACACCCGAGGCTTATTTTAGAGGAACCATGTACCGTTCAAACACAGCATACCTTTTGTGAGCGGGCCGATGCTAACATTTCGAGCAGGAATTGGCTTTTCCCACGCAGCAAACCTTTTCTGAGCAAGGCGTTCCATTCCAGTAATTGTTGGTTGCCTCCCTGGCCAACATGTAAGGTGTAGGATTGGGCGGTCAAGATAATTTCAACAGGCCAGTGTTGTGATCAAGGTGTATTTATAGTATACTTGACTGAATGGTCAGGAAAGTCAGGTCCCCAAAGGTTCTATGACCCAACCCGAAACAGCCACCGGTCGCGTCCAGCTGCATCACAAAATTTTCCTGCCCAGAACATCCTGCCAAATCAGGAAAACTGAAACTGAACATCATCAAGGCATGCTGTCTCCATCGCGGGCCGGGCCATGGGAAGACGATGGACCCCCCAGCCTCACGGGAGATTGATGCAGACCGTTCCGGACAGGGATGAGGACCAACAGAGAGATTTCCCCTAGAACTGGGCGTAATGGAATCCCCAACACCGACCCCTGTGATTCAAACACAAATCATAGCACGGTTGACGTGTTCCTCCATTTGTGTTTTTGACACCTCTATCTATGCCCAAGAAAACAGCAATAGACTAGACATGTCAACATGCTACCAACCAGCCACACAATCAACATGTTCACTGCCTACCGTCCCCCAACAAAACCATCCATAACCATCAGGCATCGAAGTTCCGATTCCCTAGCTGGGGCCTCCGACTCAAGCCAGCTCTCTTTACGCCAGGCCGAAGGGCTCCGCGCACCCACCGACTTCCAACGAGCCGCTCGGCGGAATGAGTAGGACGAGGGCTCTTTAAGTCGGTGGAACGCGCATGCGCCTGGTGCAACCACCGATTAGTTCTTACTGGGGAATGATCGCTGTCCATTCTAGCTATACACTTATATGGCATCTCTTTCAACCCTTTGTAACAGCTCCTTCAATATGATAGGGGAAGACTTGACTTTTGGGTGACCTTAGTGACTTAGTGGTCGTGGTCCTTGGCCGCACACGATGACGGGGAAGAAAGAGAAATGGTCAAAACGGTGAGTTGGGCTTCCGTGATTGTAAACGCTGCAGTTGTTCAACAGGTCTTGATTTTGGGTGACACGATATATGTATGTATATATATATATCACTCAGATCACCTGCGAGGAAGGCAACGATGCCTATGTGTGCATGTACGTGAAGAATGAGGCCTTCCTCCAACAGGAGATCGGCATGGCAGACGGGGAGGGTCGCTCCAAAACGGACCAGTATGGAGATCATCGAGTCAGATGGATTGTTATGCACACGCAGCCACGAGTCGGGGCCAGGATTGCTGGCCTCTTTGATTCGGATCGAAAGATCTGAGTCAGATGGATTGAAGGCTCTTTGCCACGGTGCTTGGAGATAATCCCACACTGACGCTCACGCAGAGCTCCGAAAACCTTGGTCGAGGAAAGTATATGCTGGTCTTCTGTCGGGAATAACTTTGGGTTGTGAGGCTTTGCAATGGTTTTACAACGCTTTTTAAGGCTGGTTATTGTGATTTGTACTTAGCTGCTCATGTCGTTCTGCTAAGACACCTCCTTTGGATACAAGCAAGTCAATCCTTTGCCAGCATATGTAACATGTGGCCGTGAGTTGCATCCACTGCATTTAGCAAACAATCCAATACTAGTATTGAACACGTCATATGACAACTTTAAGTTGTTACCCATGAAATCCCAAAGCTCTTGATTCCTCTCTCTGAGAATAGACCATGTTTTCCGCATTCGGCTTTCGTCAATAGTTTGGCGGTCTTCCATGTCTTTTGAAGAGGATCTAGAATTATGCCCTGGGACCAAAGGCTTTGCCCTTGCCAAACACTTCAACAGGCCCAAGACTGTCAGACAAAGTTCTTCCAAAACATAAGACCTTGGACTCCTACTGTTTGCGTTTCTTTTGGGCTGAGCCAAAGGCTTCTTTGCAGCCTTCTTCGGCCTGAACTGTGGGTGAGCTATTTGGGTTGAAGGTGTTAAAACATACTGAAAGAGAAACGTTGCTTTGCGTCACAAACCATCTACACTGTTTTGAATTTTAATACCAATGTGTGGTTTGTTGCCGCGATTCCGTTTTTTTCCTCATGTAATTACAGGCTATAACAAGCTTGAATCAATTAATGATAGACTAGTGACATGACTCGGGCTGGTCACGGACTACAATCATTGTCTGGAACAAATGCAATTGTCAATGACCAGTGAATACATTCCTTGACTGGCCTTGAATATGACATATATAGTGTTCTTGTTATGAATGTATAAGTCTATGACATGTCTTAACGCCTAGGACCGTGGACCTTCATTTGCTCCACCGAAGCTGCTTTGGAACACTTCCAGCTTCGTCTGGAGTTTGGGAAGATCTGCCTTGGTCATCCCAAGTTCAGCGGCCAACACTTTGCAGAGCTTGCGCACAGCCTTGTTCGGGTATTCGTTTGGGTGCATGGTAAGTCTGCACATTGAGTCCGCATCTTTGCGCGATGCCTAGACAAAAGAACATGATACGACCCACAACTATACTATTTGGCCGCCTGACCTTTTGCTGGGCCTCCCTACTACCTACCATCTGAAAAAAGAATATCTGAAACTGTGGAGTAGGAAATACTGGAAACCCAAATCAGATCAAACACACCTGTTCCTGCGCCCAGCACATCTCGCACAGTGAAATCATCCCCTCGCCGCGATATCCCCGTTGCCACGCTTTACCCCTTGACCGATCTCTGGCCACCACAGCAAGCCCATAGAATTCCCAGAAAGCAACTTTTGGCACTGAGCTGCGGGCTTTCCAAGCTAGACGGTCAAAGTTGTGGTGAGACCGAGTTTGAGGCAGGGGAAGAGGCCACTTCCTATCTCTCCTTCTCCCCTGGCCCTGTTCTCCTGCCTCGAACTTTCCATCTGACTCAAACTCGTCCTCGCCACAACTTTAACCATCTAGCGTGACACAAACTCTGCCTTGGAAAGCCATCCGCTCTGTGCTCAGCCCCCCCTGCACTTTCTCATGGCGGTGCTTCCGCTGTTCCCCTGCCAAAGACCACTGCTCACCACTTTCTGAAGGCCCTACGACATCTATCTACTGTAGTTTCAAATGAAGCAAATGGATGGATTTAGTTCCAAACGGGAAAGCCCTCCCACGGCCATGGGCTGTTAATGCCGCGCTCCCGAGACTGGGGTTGTTCCCTTTTGGTTGTTCGGTTCGGAACTTCATCAAATTGCTCTTCATTCCCACCAGTGCCCCCACGGTCAGGAGAAGATTCCCAAAGGCTTCGACGAAAACGGGTGGCACCTGACCGCATTGGGCCGACACGAGCGCTACTGGACGACCGCCGTGAAGAAGGCGACAAGGAGCCTCGGCGGCTCACACGAAGGCGATGGAGGAGTGGTAATGTTGTGTGGACTCTTTTTGAACCAAGCCACCAAATTGAGATTTGGCACACATATCATATCCATATGAGGATTGTAAAATAGATCATAGTTGCGTGGGAGAAGGAACGCCATAGACATGGTAGAGCCCAGCGAAGCCATCCGGAACCTGCATGCTCTTGTGGTCCAGTGGACCATGGCAGAAGGAGTTGTGTTTTGAGGTCAGCAAAAGGTCTTGACATCTAGACGTATTGGGCTCCAGAGAGATCTAGAGCTCTTGAGCCCAGAGATCTAGAGGTGTAGAGGTCTTTGGATCAGAGAGATCTGGATCTGATCGTGGCAGGTGCAGTGAATCGTGACCTTTGGACATGTGGTTCGTTCTCAGAAAACTCCGAGGAAGTCTTGAGCCAAAGCTGCGTTCTGGCATCTTCACAACTTGACATTGTCTTTGAAAGCGCTCTTGCTGCGAAACGCCTTGGCACGGCTGCACGATGTGAATCTTGCTGCGCAGATTTCGTGGCAGGCCAGCATTTTGTTGGCCTTGGCCTTGAAGTGCAGATTTTGTGGCAGGTGCAGCAAATTGTGCTGCCATATGTGTGCTCTTATGCGTGCTCTCCAGGCTCCAGACCCCCCAGGCCAGACGTTGAGACGTCTAGGATCGGATGTGAGAACTCTCAGACCTGGATCTAGTTCTCTGCATCCCTAGACCTCGACCTCAAGACCTTGAGACCTCTAGGTTCTTTCATCTCAAGGACTCTAGACCTCTCAATCTTGCAACCTCTAGACCTTGAGACCTGTTTAGTATGTTTTCTAGAAATCTAAAGCTAGAGTTCTTGGATCTCAAGACCTCTAGATCTGTACTGGTACCTATAGAGATGTCTGGGTCTCTAGGCCGCCACACCTCTACAATTCTAGGCCTCTAGACATCCAAATCTTTCTGGATCTAAAGACCTCTAAACCTCTGCATCCCTAGACCTCTAGACCTCAAACTCTAGGCCTCCAGACATAGAGCTCCACTCGGCCTCTAGATTTCTTTAAGCTCTAGACGTCTAGAGCCTTCTCAAGGTCTGGTCCCCTCTCTGGATCTGGGCCTTCACACCTCTCCAGTTCTAGACCTCCAGGCATCCGATCTCTCTAAATCAAGACTTCTACACCTCAGCTCTCTAGACCTCCAGATCTTCTGATCTCCTCAAACCGAAAGGCTTCATATCTGAATCTCAAGAGCTCTAGGCCTCCAGATCTCCAGACCTACACCTCCAGATCTCTAGATCTCTCTGGATCTCAAGACCTCTACAGCTCGTTAGACTTTCTAGGTCTGGACCTCCAGAACTGAGCCTGCGCAGTCGAAATGCAATTGCAAGATTTCGAAGTGAGTGAGTGAGCGCACCGTTAATCGCAGCGAGTTGGCCAGACCCTGCTGCGAGCACCTCGATAAACCCTTACTGCGAGAACTAGTGTGACCACACTGGTTTGGAAATAGAAAACCACCCTCACCCAAGCACTCCACACGATAAAAGTTTATGCATTGGGGTCGGTGTTCTCAGGGGTCAATGTAGACATATACATGCAATAAATGGACAGCCCTTTAGTGTATAATTATAGGCAACATTGACATCGACCTGTAAAATTGCTCATTTTGCTGGGAAGCTTCTGGATGGACATGTCCCTGTCTTAAAATCTCAAACTCCATTCCAGAGAGCTTACGCGAAGACGATGATGTGAGGAATCCCGAGTGGAACGAAGAGAAGGAGTTCACGTTCTGGACTGCCAAGCCGCTCATTGCCACCGGTGGTGGCACGTCCCACCTTCAGCGACGTTCGTTGGGTCGTGGTTGAGGTTGTGAAGGAAACACTTCCAATGTTTTTAAGTTGCTTTTTTGTCCCATAGATGCTGTGTTTTCCGTTCCAGCATCAGGTTGGACCCCGTTGCAGGGGCGGCTGTGTATATGTGTAACCATACTTTGAGTGATTGGCTTTGAAGATCTCGCTATGAGTCCATTACTTCGCAACAGGACTGGTGCCTTTGAACGGCGAACTGAGCAGGCCTATCACTTGAAGCTGATGTCGTGACAGGCATCGTGCTAGACGGAGAGAGCGAGTTCGGGTTTCGATGGAGAGTCCTCACTTCGGACTTGTGTAGCTTAACTTCAAGGGATGGAGCAGGAAGATTGGATGTTTCATGAGTTGTGCATAAGAATTGTGACGTCATTGTGCAGCAGTTACTTTAATGTTGGGTCTTGAATAGTAAAACCTCCCCACCCCTCCCTAGCAAACAATCAAGGGAGCATGAATAGAATCCCCGCCACAAAAACAATTCGTAGTATTCGTAGCAGTAGTAGATAGTAGTAGTAGTAGTAGTAGTAGTAGTAGTAGTAGTAGTAGTAGTA